AGCTATTTATGAACTTGTAATCAGAACTGATATAAAAACACAATACTTCAACAAAAAGATTTGAAATCTTTCTTTATGAAACATCATTATCTTGCTCAATCATGATTAAGATACAAAATTTTCAGTATTTGGGAAAAAGTCAAGTGGCAGGATGACTTCTAGGGGGGGGGGCAGCTGCCCCCCCTGCCCCTCGCTGGGTACGCCCTTGGCGAATTCTCAATGTATTTCTTTATATATATTCATTTTTTCATAATCATAATACAGAGAAGTGCACACAAAACGGTCAGGATTGTAACTTTTGAATTATTCTAGATAGGGTTTTCAAAAATTGGTCGGTAGGAATTATATCAAATTGCTCATTAATTGATGAAACAATTTTTCTCCTATCACTTCCATCACTTTTGATTTTTAAATAGGACCCTGTATTGTACTCCATAATCGGTTAGGGATTATCATGACGAATTCAACGATACCGGGTTTGATAGGGTTATTTCAAACGATTACAAAGATATTTGCCTTCGAAGTTTCCATACACTCAATGGGTGTGACTTCGCTATATCAAAACTTCTTTCTCTGTCACACTCATTGGGTATATGGAAACTCAGAACGCGAATAATACGAGGAAAAATGTTGTCTTCAGAAAATCATGACCCACCCTCTAAAAACACCCTTTATAACAATATCAGAAATGCTGAAGTGTATCAGAAAAATGCATCTTATCAACATACTTTTATGCAGGAAACTTAAATCTGGTGGCTTTTACCGTTCAGAAGTTATGCGGGAAATTATTTAAATTTTTTCAACTTTGGAAGGATATATCTCCCCTAATAATCCTAATATACATTTTCGGCCATATCAAACTATACTTATTCTTCATTGTACTATCACCTTCAGAAAGCTCGGTTGACATTTTTGACTCACACTGAGGAATAAAAAACTCATGATATATCATAAATTGAATGCTTCATGGAATTCAAGTGTTTCTGCGAGCCAAAGATAAATTGGTTATGCCTCTTTGGTCTTTTTTCGATTGCGTATAATTTGGTGGATACACCTACCTATACCAAAAACATTCGCCATTTTTTAAAGTTCGTTTAGGCATCGATTTTCAGTTCATTTTTAATATGTTATCATTATTGTATTTCTGTTTATGTTGAATATTTTCTCATCAAATTTATTACAGATCTTATTCAGAGGACGACAATTCCAACGGCGTACGCGGATTATTGCTAAAAAATCGGTAATATATGGGTTCTGGAATTTTCAGCCCCTGAATGTGATCTAGTAGGTTTTGGGAAGGGGTAAATCTCCAGGAAAAATGTGTACACCAGACTTCCAATTACCAAAGACTTCCAAAGACTTCCAAAGACTTCCAAAGACTCCCAAAGACTTCCAAAGACTCCCAAAGACTTTTAAAGACTTCCAAAGACATCCAAAGACATCCAAAGACATCCAAAGACATCCAAAGACATCCAAAGACATCCAAAGACATCCAAAGACATCCAAAGACATCCAAAGACATCCAAAGACATCCAAAGACATCCAAAGACATCCAAAGACATCCAAAGACATCCAAAGACATCCAAAGACATCCAAAGACATCCAAAGACATCCAAAGACATCCAAAGACATCCAAAGACATCCAAAGACATCCAAAGACTTCCAAAGAATTCCAACGGAGTGTACACCAGACTTCCAAGGAGATTTACCCCTCGAGTTTTGGTTTCTGAAAAAAATCAGACGCCGCTTAGCTTCGAAATGAATCTGCCCCCCTCCAAATTTCTGAAAAAATTGTCCATATAATTCCATGAATAAATGAGGGTGACTCGCTTTCAAATGGGCCACTCTCTATATAAAATCACTCAAATTAGCGCAATTTTGGTGGAGCTCTTCCTGAATAAACATATTGAAAAATACATATACAGAGTGTCCCAACTCTATAGGCATTCTTTCGAAAGCGGGCAATAATTTTCTGGAAAAAGCCCAAAGTATTTCGTTTCTGATTATATAATTATATATCCTCACATTTTTTGGCATTGATGAATAGCTTGATGTGAGCTCACAACTAGACGATGAAAAAAGACGCAAAAAGTCGAGAAATTACAATGATAGAGTTCGAAATAAGAATTTGATATCATATCTCATTTCTAATGGAAACACCCCTGTGGGGTCATCTTCAGTGATTTACACTGCTCACCAACAGCCATGGAACCACACCAATTTCCGGAAAATGATATTAGGAGTCAAAATAGGTTGAAAATCACTTCGGATTCGGAATGAGGACGTCCAATTTTCTAACTTTTCATATTTTTCCTGAAAACTTTTCAGTTCTGAAAAAATAATTTTTGTCTCACTTTTCAAGGAAACACCCCCGTATCTTATGTATAATCGTTGGGCTAGAATCCTGAAAATTGCTGGAGCGAGAGATATACCAGAAATGTACTCAACGTCAAAGTGGGGTCATCTTCAGTGATATACACTGCTCTCCAACAGCCGTGAAACAACACACATGTCCGGAAAATAATATCGAGAGACAAGATAAGTTGAAAATCACTTCGGATTCGAAAACAGGACGTCCAATTCACCAACCTTCCATATTTTTACGCATGATTATCGGTAATGATTTTCCCCATACTATTAACAAATTCATTCATTTCTAATTAATTTCAATGACACCCGTCATGATCTGTGATCAATTGAAACACTTCTGATAATCTATTCGATTGTACTAATTCAGATTGGTATTTCATTATCCCTGATTAGAACTGACTTTATCATTATCAATTTCAGAACAACCGTTAAGTGAATTTCCAGATTTAATAGATAGATAGATAGATTCATTGTATTGAAAGAATTACAATTCTTATTACAAGGGTTGGTTAATCTGTGATTAATGAATACATGAGAACTAATAGCTAAAACGAAAACGAAAATCCTTCCTGCGGGACCTCGATAGGCATTGAAACAATAATTGATATGCAAATTACTCATTCACAGCAAAAAATCTAAGCTTCAACATATTGATCAGAACCTGTACTAGGAGTTTCAAGTCAGCTAGGCCACCATAATTCAGAAGATATATTAAATCATCTAGAGATTCAACGTCTTGAAATAATCGACAATCCCTGATACCAGCATAAACTGGACATTCAAAGAGAATGTGTTCCAAAGATTCCGGTCTGTGGAGATTGCAAACAGTGCATTCTCAATTCAGACTGGTTGTTTGTATTACAAAGGGAGAGGGTAATTTTTTTTTCATGTTCAATTTTTTTTCTTCTTATTGTATTTTTACACTGCAGTTTCTGTTTTGAATATTCTGATCTGTAGGGCTCAATGAAATGTTTGTTCTTGCATATATTCAATAGGTTCTTGCAATGTTTTTTGAGTAGATACATTCAGAGGTTTGTTGTTGTAGGTTCTGTTATTAGGTTTGGTTTGGTGGACTAGGTCAAGATCACTAGCCACAGACCAGATCGTACTACATAAGTTTGCATAGGATTCTTCGACATCATCGACAAATACGACATTGGGATTCAGGTATAAATTCAACCTGTAGCTGTCGATCTTATCGTCTCTCCAAGTTAGCTTTTTTGATGTAATATTAGTAATTCTTTCACCGCAGTTAACTGAAGCAATGATCGGATAAGAAAAAGTTATTCAACACTTCGAATTTGTCGATTATATCAAGCTTATCATTATTACAAAAACATAAATCAATAACACTTTTTCCTAATTTTCAGATTTAATATTTAATACATTTTTTTTCCTCCTGGCATGTAGGCGGTTCTGTGGCTACTGGCGAGCAGTGTATCAATGAAGATGACCCTAATTGGTAATTGGTCTCTTTCTTAGTCCTGAAAATTTCAGATTCCTACATCAATAATTACGTTAGATACTAGAGTGCTTCCGTGAGAAGTGGGACAGAATTTATTATTTCAGAACTGAATTTTTTTAGAAGGAATATGAGTAGTCAGTGAATTAAACGTTCTGTATTCTAATTTCGAATCCGAAGTGATTTCCAATCTATCTTGCTTGCTAATATGATTTTCCGGACATGTAGTGGTTCCATGGCTGCTAGCCAGCAGTGTATATCACTGAAGGTAATTTTAATTGGTTATTGACTGTGTCTTAGGAATATTTCTCCTGGAAATTTAACAATCTGAAGTGATGTTCAACCTATTTCGATTACTAATATCATTTTCCAGAAATTGAGGTGGTTCCATGGCTGTTGGCGAGCTGTGTATATCACTGAAGTTGACCCCACTTGGTCATAGAGTACATTTTTGGCATATTATTCACACCAGCAGATTTCAGGATCCCAACTCAACGAATACGTAAGATAAAGGGGTGTTTCCATTTATAAGAAAGTCGAAAAAAATTGAAGTTTTGTAGAAAATCTGATAGGATTCATCATCCCTTTTCATATAGGGGTATATCTCCCTATATGCTGTTATATCAAATAAAGTATCCTCATTCATTATAAGAATAATGTACTTCCATTCAATATCGGGAGACAATTCTGGACTAGCGTGTCCATGTGTGAAAATTAGGCCTGGAAAAAATTCAATATATTAATAAATTTATTGATATATCGAATAACGATGTTATTTTTTCCAAATATATCGATATAGGGATAGTTATATCAATATATCGAAAGTGAACGCCTTCGTAAAAGCCGTTTTCTAGAATTATAGGTAGGTATCGATAAGTATCACTATAGCAACATATCGATGTATTGATTCATTGATATCTATAAATGAATTTCTATCGATATTCAACGTAATATCGATATTTATCGGTGTATCGATATTAATAGATATATCGATATCAAACTTCGAAATTTTTTGACATACGAATTATACTAGGTATATATATAGAAGCCTATTCATTATTTTGCTGTTTCTCCGTCATTGCTTGCACTGTTACATAAATAGTATCTACGTCACACACCCAGAACAAATTATCGTTATTATCAGTTGCTAATGCTGATTCATTCGCTATTGCAATTTATATCAATCTGAATTCCATAACTGATTAATGATCTAATCTTTGACCAATAATCGAATTTAATGAATGATTTTTCTCTCGTGAAAGCATACCTAAAAGTGCATCCTCATGTTGTTGTTTTGTTTTCCAATAAGCAGCTAGAGCCTATTGATTCTCTCGCAATTTGGAAACGAGGTGGGTGCAACTAGTGAAATTAAAAATAGGAATCTGCGATACTGCTATGGTTACTATAGATTGAACAGTAGATAAAATGTGAACATAATGTTCAAATAGTATATTATTTAACGAGTACGGAATGATCATTTCCCATGAGAAAGAAGTTTTGCATCTTGAGCCGTAGGCGAATGCTGCAAATCATACGAGTGGGAAATTAGCATTCCGTGCGAGTTATATCACTATACTTTTTTTACGGCTGTAACAGAAAACAGAGTAATTTTTGATTTTTTCTGCTAATAGTCATCTGCTTTTCCCTCTGCTCATCTATTGAACATATTTTGTGAAATATCAACACAATGAAGGCATTGTGATATCAGATACGAAAATAAAATTGATGACATACAAAGTACCTCATTGATACATCGAACACAGTAAAACATGTGAAATATTGATGTTATAGCTGAAGAAAAAGGAAATTATATACACCTAATACTGATGTTCCCTTCGAATTTTATAATTTTCGAAGTATTACGTACACTCGTCTTCAGTGAACATGTCGCGGTTGGACGGTGCAAGAGCTCTTACTGCAGCGGTGATTAAGAGAGCTGACACCGTCCATATGCGACATGTTCTCTGAAGACGACTGCACGTAAGTTGAAACTGATTGCACATCACTAATTAACAAATCAATGTGATGTGTAACTTGAAAAAATGATGTTGGGGTGGTTTTTCAGGGGTAGTTTGACAGAAGTAGACTTTGACATACAGACTTCAAAGTCATTTGGGTTTGACACTTGAAAAGTGTATTTTTTATATTTTTCTTTCAAGCAGCATAACTGAGATATTGGCTGCATCAAAAAATCTGGGACACCCGGTATATACGTAAAAATATTATGTTGTGCAACAAGTGAGAAAAGTGCTTTTCCCCACATGTTGCACACTATACTTTTTCTACAACTGCACTTATTCAAAGAATCCGAGTAATGTAGCTTATTGGTATATTCATTTCATAATGTGGCACTATGCCACATTGAATATTGTGACCAAAGAGTAGACGCCTTTCCTAGTTCCTCAAAGTATTTCAAAAAATCACACTTTCTGAAAAAGATTTTTATTTCTGTATTTTTTTAGATTCCATAAATTTTTCGTTAATGCCAATTCATACTTTTTTCTTGAAATTTCCGGAAACAAATCCAACTTTCCCAGCTTCTTCCATTATCTCTGTCTCTGGCAGAGTATTTATCAAAATCGTCAGATCTCTGTATATACATCATATTATTCATTATAAATTGTTGGAATAATATTTGATGGAAAATGCGATTTCTATCAAAAGCACTAATGAGAACTACCCTAAAGAATTTCAAAAACTTCTTCTGACCGTTGTGACAACTATTCGAAGCTGAACAGCAGCCAAATTTTGGTCGATTTTTGTTGATTCTCCATGGAAATGTATGTGGCGTTGGCAAAATGCCGTGAGAAAAAATATTTCTCACAGTATGAGCAATACACATGGTTTTGAAACTGAGTAAGCTATGAGAAATGCGCTACTTTTCATAGCAGTAGTAGAAAAAGGATATATGTGATGCCAACAATCAATCCTGGAGAAGACAATAGATGAAAATAGTCATTGTTAACTGATTTCCAAGGCTGATAATATACCATGATATCTGAAATAGTGATATATGTCCCTTAATAACTAATAACTGACTATTGATGAAAAAAAAAAACGTAGTGGCGACTTGCGAGACACCTTGATTCATATTTTGAACATTTTGTGGAAATTACTGTAAGATTTTCTCTCTGGTATCTAATAATCCCACTTATAGAATTCTAGCTTTTTTAAGTTTTGTTTATGGAATATTTGTGGCGGAGAAAGAGCCAAACAAGTTATTTGGATTCCCAGGTCACAGGATACGACAGGACGCCAATACGGCGCCGTTGAGGCACCGCCGTGGCGCCTCCGCCTTCATATACAGGGTGGTCCAGATTTTTGGACTTCAATTTGGATATTTCATAGATACTCGCAAAAGGGGATATTTTTCTTAGTGAATATGCCTAAGAATGCACCATAACATATCATTATTTGGAAAAAAGTTCACTATAGGTATTCCACTAAATACTAAATCCTTTTCATGCAGAAGGTCACTTTTCCGAAAAAACAACATCTCGCAGGTACAAATGAGAATATACCAACCAAGTCTGTGAACAGAAGAGAAGTAGTGTTCAGTGCAGAATATGTCAAGTTGCCGTGTGTATTGAATATGTTCATTTGTCCGCTGGTAAAACTGTTTACCATTATTGTCCAACTCATTTGAACATTGAAAAAAATCAAAATGGATCCACAATCAATATTTCATATGAAGGTATTGACTTTAATGAACTCTAATGAAAGAAACAACATTTATCTGAATTTTGGGCCTTAAATGGTTAAAAGACAAATTGATCATTAAGAGCCGTTTCCTTTTACGGTAAATATTTCAGACCCTAAGGAAACTCAACGTATACTTCCGAATGGCACTAAAAAAAAATATATGGATCAGAATGAAATTCGAGGTGAGACTCCATTTTCCACCCAAAGTTCTGAACTGTAGCAATTCTGACGTTACCTCTGTCCTTGATTATATACACTCAAATTTCCGTGAGGAAGGCATACTTTTCATTTTTTTTAAAGTATGTTACTTGATTATTTTCCTATTTTTTATTCAATTTTTGGGATGAAAATTCTCGTCAATTGGAAAAATTAAAAAAATCTGATATCATTGATAATTCGTTAGACTGTATCATATCGATTTGCTGAATATACAGTGAGGACGTAAAACGTCCTCCCTCCCTTTAACCTTTGAACGGAACAAGCTAGGGAGGTCGGGTAAGTTCAGGCAAAAAGGTACCTCTTTCACTACTATTTGGCATGAAAATGGTTGTGGTCACGTGACCTAGTGTCAAGTGGGCACCATCAACTGTTTTTTTCGAAAATGAGGAGGGGTCACGTGGTACCTTGTTTTGAAGGCCTTTCGATTCTCTATCCAATTCCGCTTTGTTTGTGAGAATCGGTCAAGCCGTTTCAAAATGACAAGGGTTTGAAATGTACCTCGGAAACAGTAAATCACGTTCCGATTGAATTCCAAAACCGATTTTTTCGTGTCAATAAGTGAACATTTCGAGCATGTTTGAGTACTTGTTACAATTCCTACTTGACTTGAAATTCTGTTGCAATTAAAAGTTATTTAGGTTTTTATTCATTAATATTAATATTTGATGCAAATTTCAAACGCTTGTCATCTTGAAACGGCTTGGCCGATTTGTACAAACGAAGTGGTGTTGGATAGAGAATCGAAAGGCCTTCAAAACAAAGTACCACGTGACCCCTCTTTATATTTGAAAAAAAAAGTTGTTGGTGCCCACTAGGTCACGTGACCACAACCATTTTCATGCCAAATAGTAGTAAAAGAGGTACCTTTTTGCCTGAATTTTACCCGACCTCGCTAGCCTGTTTCGTTCAAAGGTTAAAGGGGGGGGGGGGAAGAGAGGACTTTTTACGTCCTCACTGTTATTTTTTTTATAGTAATTACATTTGAAGAGATTATTGCTGTAAGAAAAATCTATATATTTTTTTTTGTTTCAGCTAACTGTCTTCCAATTTTTCTGGCTAATGACGAGCTGAGATTTCGCCGAATACGGTGCAATGCTACAGTCCTATGCTACTGCGCTAGCAACAACACTAATCTTCCCGTACTTATGACTACTGTAAGTTGGAAAAATATGTAATAAAAATAATAATGATAGTATATTATTCAACAAGCATATAATAACTCATTATATGCGAGCAGAATACTATACTTTATCCACGACTGTTGTCTGAAATAAACTGGTCAACATTGATAACGTCGTGGTCCAAAATATAGCCTGAATTCAAAGTAGAATAGGTCGCGTGCACGAAGACCGACCCTGGAGGCAAAATATTGAAACACAACCTCATTCTTCTGTGAATTATTGAAACACAACCTCATTCTTCTGTGAATTATTGAAACACAACCTCACTTTTTTATTTGGTTTCAGAGGAATCAAAAGGTTGAAATAGTTTTTCACAATATTTTGGCATATGAATCGTATTTCTTGCTATATTCATTAATTCAAGCATGCCTTCACATTGTGCTGTTGTACAATGCACAAAAAATGCAGCAAGAGACTAGGGAATATGATTTTTCAGGTAAATAGTAATCTCACATAGTTAGCATTATGAAATGTTGTCATTCCTTATTAAAATTCCTTCTGCCTTCTGCCACTTCTGCAATACAAGCTAATGCTGCTAATAGATTGAAAATGTCTACAACACACACGATCGTCAGCATGTCAGACCAGTCCTACCGATTGATTGCATGAATCCAATCTTCTTGCATTATTCTAGAAATTCCAGGTATATTTCTATTAGCTGATCCTATTGCAGAAGGAATTCCGATGAGAAATCAGAGAAATAACCAAATTTCAGAAATGAAAACTATGTGAGTGACTATAGTAGGTACTTACTTTTGAATCATAGTGTACCATCCGGATTTCTTCATCTTCCGCTGCAGTTTTTGTGCATTTTACAACAGCACAATGTGATAGCATTAGCGAATTGATGAATAGCGGAAATATACGATTCATATGCCAAAATAATTGTGGAAAACTATTTCGATCACTTGTAAACAAATATGTTTTGCCTCCAGGGTCGGTCATCTGACAGTTCTTGCACGCGACCTATAACTCACGAATTTCCTAACCAATTTGAAATCGGTTTTCATCGATGATTAGCCTAATTCTCTTGACAGTTCGTTGTGGCAATATAAAACTTCTGTAATACCAGATAACATTGCTACAGGGTGATGATTAAATGGGTGTAAAATTGCATCGTGGTCGTCACCTTACCGTTTGAACAGATAATTTTTTTCATTTTTTTTCTCACCTTTATCCTCTTGATTGATGCTTTCTCTCGAAACTTTTTCGGAATTTCCAAATTCAGAGCTTTGATAATCGTGTTATGAATATTCATTCAAAATGATGCATTTTTTCGACGATTAATTGAATGAAATTGGAAGTTGGAATTCTTTTTCGAAGAATCAACGTTGTATGTATAGTCGCCGGATATTTGATCGTGTTCGAACACAAAACATTTTATACAAGTGATACAAAAAATACTGAATGATGGAATAGAGAATAACGTATAGTCTTCAGTAGATGAAACATAATGTTCTCTGTGTTCCTAGTGAAATAATGGACCCACTTTGCGGAATAGCTTTCAATACCTGTTGTGTGCTAAATCAGGAACATTTCATATATCTTTATATCCATATACCTATCTACTGTCAAATGAAGAAACACAATTTTTCTATGAGACAAGCTCATTTTGAGATTTATATCGCAATTATATAGGTGGATAGCTTTATTGACACATGAACAAACTATTTGCAATACATAATTTTCTGAATATCTGTATATTCGTAGCAGTTAGTCGAGAACAAATGTGATGGGGGCCAGTGGACTTGCTCACCCCCTAAGCAGTGTTGCCAACAGGGGTGCTGTTTCATTTTCGCTCCGTCAATTTACAAAGGATCGCCTTCTTCGACCCAACATGGTACTGTGCTCAATCCTCTCTTCCTAGGTCACTGGTAAGTAATAATTCCTTAAACTGTGGTAATACCAGAGATTATGTAATATCTTGTTCTCAATAGAATAACAATTTTTCATTTCTAACTGAAATTGGGAGTATTATATATCATATAACTGAAAAATCTAGGATCACTATATAGTTAGCAAGAGTATATGTTTCTGCATAATATGTCTCATCCGTGGCACTCGGTCTGCTGTCAATGGTGCATTCATGATATACGGGGTGTTATTTAAGTATGTGGCTAAACTTTAAAGGGCGATTACCTAGGCAAATTCGAGTAATCGGTATAATTTGGAGGTACTAATTTTTCTTGCTAACACAGGTACATGGTGATATGGGGATCACAAAAAACCATGATTGCCATCTTAAAGTGGTAGCTAATAGAAATGGCGGTCAATTCAAGATGGCGGATCATGATCTCATGAAAATGGCCATATCTCAGGAAATTATTGTCGGATTTATCATTTTCAGAATTCGAATGAAAGGTTATAATGTGTTTAATTTTTTAGATGCCATATTAATTTCGAGTATTTACAGCCGTTCATTGAAAAAAATGTTTTTTATTTTTTCAACAATTTCTAACAACTTTTTTTTATTCATTCTCAATTAATCAAAAACTGAATGCGATCGCAATAAAATTCTTGAAACAAAATACATTCTTGCCTCAAAGTTTCTCTACAATTTGATAAATTCATACTTCTGTTTTGTGGCATTGAAATGGCATCTAAATGAATCGCAATCGACCAATGTTTCCTTATTTTGGTGACTGGGGTTCACAATGTATGTGTTCATCAATATTAGGTATAATTTACATCAATATCTCTTATTATGTTCATAATGTTTAAACAGTCACTACTCAGAGTAGAAACTGTTGAAACATCATTTATTACAGGTTTTATTAGTGATTACCATCACTTGTATACGAATTGATTGATATTGAATACTAATAATATTTGCAATTACTTTTTGTTGCTAGTGTGGATGTTCAGAGGAATACAGTGGAATAATTGGTAGATCCAAAATATCTGGTGTTAGGAAAGTGAAGTGTATAAACTGCGAACTTGAATCATATGAGTGTATTATTTGCCGAAGGTCAGCCTCACCCAATGAAGTGCATCAATCGAAAGATCTTGAACAGTTTTGTATATAATGCTGCTGTAATGAGAAATATTGAACCAATCAAAAATATTACTGATATTTTGGATGAACCATCACATAGAAAGTGTCGAGCCAATTTTAGGAATATTAAAGCTCTGAGGAAATAGAAGGCAAAAGCTACATCGTCCCAGGACTTACCTAAGCCATCCGAAACTCCCTGTTGATCTAGTCAGGTTGTGAAACGTTTGAAACGGGATAGTAGCAGAAAATATGCGACATATAACAAGAATTGAAGAAGAGAGCAAATATTAAAAATGCAGCAGGACCAGAGAAACACTTACTCAAGTTGCAGAGCTAAGAAATGATGGAAAATTGCGTGAAACCGCTATAGAGAGGGGCGATAAAATGATCATAGGAATAACATCAAGAGATATTGTAGCTGCAGAGGCGTATTATCATAAATCTTGCTATCTCAGCTATACACGGATAAGACCTGCTGAGCTTGAAAATATCGACCACTATATTGAAGCAGAAAAAGAGGCATACAAGAAATTATATAATTCAATACGAAATGATATATTCTCCAGCCCAAGGGTTCAATCTCTTCGTTTTCTGCTCTCAAAATTGGTCGAGTACCTAGGAGATAATGTTGATGAAATAATCGAGTCTTTCAAGAAGAATGTCATGTCAGCATCCCTACTATACAGGGTGTTTCATAATTGAATGTCAATATTTGGGGAGGCGATTTTTGGGCCCATTCTAAGAAGAAAGTTTCATATGAACGTATGACCTAAACATCCTAACTTTTGAGATACAGGGTGGTAAAGTTCTCAAAAATTAATAGTTTTTTATTAATATCTGTAATACCACTTCAGATATTCTGATGAAATTTGGCATACATGTACTATGTATCAAGATGCATCAGTAAGCGTACCACATTTTTTGTTGTTGCCACCAGTGGCGTTCGTATGGAATTTCACATACCTATTTTGGCAGACATTAATGGTACGCCACTGATTAATCTCCAAATTGAAATCATTCCTGAAATTCCCAAACATTTCTAAGCAAATTTGATCACTACAATTTTTTCAATCTGATGCACGGTTTTCGCTTAAAAATATAACAAGCTTTTTACTACATGATTATAGCAATATCGTTAATATGACAATATCACAATGCAGAGAACTAGATTTTATTTCTTAGATCAAATTTCAGAAATACAATTCATAGTTTATGAACTTCGTATTCATATTTGGTATTTTGGAATTATCACTTCTCATTGTAGTAGGCTATATTAATTTTCGAGAATTTTACCACCCTGTATCTCAAAAGTTGGGATGTTTAGGTCATATGTTCATATGAAACTTTCTTCTTAGAATGGGCCCAAGAATCGCCTCCTCGAATATTGACATTCAATTATGAAACACCCTGTATAGTAGCCTATGACAATATAAATAATTGCCCAGACGAATTTATTGATTTGAACATATTTTTTCCAGGTATCTCATCGTTTTTGAGTAGCTCTCAACGAATCAATTAATTATTTTGAAGCATGAAAAAATCATTTATTCGTGTTTAATCAATTAACGGCTGCGAATATCAAAAATCTCTAGAGAAATTCAAAAATAGAGTACAATGAGAGCTTTCATTTGAGCCCAAGAAAATTGAAATCGGATCATTATTTTCAGAGATACGATTGTTTCTATGAAGTCAACATCCGCCATTTTGTATTGGCCGCCATTTCTATTAGCTACCACTTCGAGGTGGCAATCATAGTTTTTAGAGATCCTTATATACCTATATAACTGCCGTATGAAGGAAAATTGGTGCCCCCAAATTATACCAAAATCTTGGCTAGCCAATAGACTAAGACTTAATTAAGTATGTGGCTAAACTTCAAAGGGTGATTATTTGGGATTTTTTTGAAAAAGTCCATGTAACTATAGATCCTGAAATGCTTCGTTTTCAAGACACCGAGAGTGTTGAAGTTGGAAGTATTTTTGTTTTCTATGATCACCTTGTATAAGCTTTCATGATGGCAAAAAGTCTCAAAATTTCAGAATAATACGAGGTTATTGGGTAATCCCAAAATTTGGAATCAAATCAATTTTTCATCATTTGCTCAGAAACTAAGTGAATACAAAAATTTAATAGAGGACAAGAAAGTTGTATTTCCAATTGTTTGAGCTTAAAAAAATAACGAACTTGGAAAAAACTATAACGAAAGTACCTTATTTATCATAAATATCGAAAACTACGATGCCACTAGGGAATCATTATTTTGAATCGTATTACACCAAAACAAGCTTCTTGATACTGTTAACAAAATCACCAAGTTTCATTGAAATTCTGGAACGAAATTTTATAGGTAATTAATCAGAAAACGATTATTTATTGAAACTTTGACACACCGTATCTTGAAAACGAAGCATTTCTGGACCTATGTTTACATGAACTTTCCATTTGAGAATCACCCAAATAATCACCACTTGACGTTTGGCCACATAATTAATCAACACATAGTGATGGAGAAACAAGTGGAGGTTGTTTGTTTTTTCGTAGGTATTTCTGGCTTGCTGTAACAGCTACAGTGGCGGGTATTTTATGTGCCTGTTCTCTCTGGAGGAAACACAGTCAGGGCAATTTGTGTTGCAAAGATGGTGGAAGGGATGACAGGGCTTCAGAACCCGATTCCAATTCCTGCTATGCCCCTCCACAATACAGTAGATGCAATAGTTTTCATCAAGCTCCACCTCCCTATTCAGAGGTGAGAAAATTTATGCTTAACTCACCATTCTATCCATTTGATTCACAGATATACGTGTGATGCAAATGTATGGAATAAATTCATTATTTCAGAAATGGGCGACATTTTAAAAAATTCCAAAAACACGTGAGGTTCCATTTTTGAAGCCTCATCTCATGATATCCATATGAGAGATGTTACGTCACAGGTGTTGGAGCAATGACGTAATGAACAAATTTTTCAAATGAAAACAGGGGTCATGTGACACCTCGTTTGAAAGGTCTACTGATCATCTATTCAACAGTCAAAATTTTGCATAAGAAAATTGAAATTAAAATGGATTATCATTTGATTAATTGAATCTTGTAGAGGTCTGCTACTGAGAATTGAACAACGAAGGGTCGTCTATTTAAAAAAATACATCAATTAATAAAGTTCTGAAGTCTAGTTTTTGGATTTTTTTCGGAAGTCGTCTTGTTTTGAAATGAATTTATTCCATACATTTGCATCATACTGTATATAGGAACTGAGTATTATATTATGACATAATAGGGTTTTTCCACCACTATTTATTGAACTCAACCATTATTTAATCCATTTCGAGGCGTAAGGTGTGCTTTTACTACCAAGGTAGTTTTCGCCATTTTATGAACCATATGATATCAATAAAGACATAGCCACTTATTCTGTTATAATTGTCCTGAATTCACTGTTTTGATGGGAGATTCGTAGAAATGGCACTTGAATCTAGTAGGTATATTTATCGATAACGATATGTCATATGCTGTCATGGTCATGGCTACTAGATTTTAATTAGAATTGAAAAGAAGTACTTTCATTGTCACTATGTTCATATTCCAGCTCCACAGAACTCAAATGATTGGAATGTATTGCTAGTGGTAATAAAATGTAATATACACCGTGATAGTGAAGAATATTATTACCACGGGACCTTATATACCCCTAGCTCGGCTGAAGCCTTGGGATATAATCTTGGTCCCTGGATAATACTGATATTTTTCACAACCTTAAGGAAAAAAAAATTGGCATTTCATCTCTGTTGGCAGGTTTTAAAATGTCACTTTTCACAAATTACTTTTTTCCCGTAGGAAAAAAATGAGTACTTTTTTCCCGGATAAACATCACATATATATACAATGTTGATGGCTTTTGTTGTGCTATAGTCTCGAAAAATAAGTCAATAATACCGTCTCCGAGATAGAACCGAGAAGAAGTCCTTTTATCTTTCATTCGACTTCGCGGTTACGTATATTACTAAACAACCACTAAATTCGCAATTTTTCGAAATTAAATCACAAAATTAGACTGACAGAAGTGACATCAGATATTTGATTACTTCAAAAGAATGATAAAGATGCCTACAACATAGGTGTCCCTACTTTTAAAAACTTAAAATTTCACGTCGATAATTTTCAGATTTCGAAATAATGTAATATCTTCTCAATATTGATTCGTCCTTACTTCTGTCACAGAAAAAATTGTGTATTATACACGGGAAAAATATTAGATTTCAGCTCATGGTTTTTTGTCTCCCTACGCTACGCGTCGGGAGACAACACAACCTGGAGCTAAAATCTACTACTTTTTTCCCTTGTATAATAAATAACTATTTTTCTGTGACGGGAAAAAAGTTTGGCATTTCATTTCTGTTGGCAGGTTATAAAATGTCACTTTTCATAAATTACTTTTTTTCCGTGGGAAAAAAGTGAGTACTTTTTTCCCGGATATATATCACATTTATATACACTGTCGATGGCTTTTGTTGTGCTATAGTTCCAAAAAATTAGTCAATAATACCGTCTCCGAGAAATAACTGCAAGTCCTTTTATCTTCCATTCGACTTCGCGGTTACGTATATTACTATAAACAACCACTAAATTCGCAATTTTTTGAAATCAAATCACAGAATTATACTGACAGAAGAGACATCAGATATTTGATTACTTCAAAAGAAAGATGAAGATGCCTACAACGCAGGTGTCCCTACTATTGAAAACTTAAAATTTCACGTCGATAATTTTCAGATTTCAAAATAATGTGATATTTCCTCAATATTGATTCGTCCTTCCTTCTGTCACAGAGAAAAATAGTGTATTATAGACGGGAAAGATATTAGATTTTAGCCCACGGCTACGCGTCGGGAGACAACACAACCTGGAGCTCAAATCTACTACTTTTTTCCCTTGTATAATAAATAACTATCTCTAATACCTTGGTGTATTTATTAACTAATTCGAGTTATAATATAACTTCGATGAATAGATGCATTAAATGCAAGTAAGAAGGTTCGAAAACTGAAAGATCTTATAGGTACAGTATTGAATAAAATAGTTAATCAATATTCGTTGAATAACAATTGAAGAACTATTCACTTCCCAATGAGTTCTACTCTGCTAGTTGGGTAATCGGTATACCTATTTATTTATTTTTTCTATATGTAAGGATCTATTCCCATTTCATGAAATTTTGTTACATTCTACGATGATTTCAGGTGACATCAAAGCCAGATCTGTATCCATTGGTAATCAGTTACAATGCAGAGCCAGTGATAAAAAGCAACAATGGTTCCACTGGTTATCTCATGGTTCAATATTTCAGAAATTTCATCGTGAGACCAGCAGGTCAGTGCGAAATAACTCTTCTACTTCCGTAATCCCGTACATATTATACAATGCGCGAATCAGATTAAATATCTGCTACATACCAATTTCTTAATATTGTTCACTTTAACACGGATTTTCATTATGAATCAGAATTTGGCAAATGGAAACCCGTACTTTCCATTATGAAACGAATTTTTAGCCTATAGGTATACGTACAGTCAGATGCAAAGAACATGTGGATGATGTTAGCACTCATTGCACAAGTTACTAGAGGTGCTATCCTCATGTGCGACATGTTTATTGCATCTAACTGTACCTACCTACTTGGGAATGATCTATAATCTATATTTCTACATTCTCGTTCGAGTTCTTGTGAGAAGATACAAGTGTATTGAGGGAAATAAGATATTGACGTGAATAAAAAATCAGTCATTCTCAACACTTAATTCTTGGATTCACTGCACCATTTCATAGCGTAACATGATTTAATGGAAAATTAATATACAAATTGAACAACAAAAAAAGAAACCGAAAGCGAACTTCTTGGCAAAGACTGCCTATACCCAAAATGAGGAACCTAATGTCATGTAGGTCCATGTCTTCCGAAATTTGAATAATCAGTCTCTGTCGTGCGTTTTCCAAAGCATTCAAGTAACGTTCCCCTTGTAATGTTGTCCCAAGAATTTCCCACCGATTATCAATGGGCATTAAATCCGGGCCAGTAAAAGAAATACTTCCCCAGACCATAGCCATACTTACGTGCTTATATAATGTCAATTGAATTCAATAAAATCATGTAATGCTATGAAATTTTGTTTTCTGAGGAATAGGAAAGATAATGAAGTAAATCCAAAAAAGGAATATCAGAAAAAGATGAGGCAAAATATACTCTCAATTTCTACTTGATAACGTAAATGTTACACTCCACAGGGTATACAAATTTCATGAAAAAAACACGGTATAACTGCTGCACCCAATATTATTAAAAATAAGGCTCTTCTGCAAATACAGTTTGCACGCCAATATTCCGAAGAAGGTAACATATCATTCAAAAAATCGTCCAAATTGGACAAGTATGGTATATCCAAAGTTACCTTTGAAGTGAGTGCAGGTGAGGCACGAAACTCTGCAATTGTTTTTGGATAAACATTACCTACAATCGTCAACTTGGACAAAAATGCTAATAAACTTATAAAACGATATACTCCATTGAATGATTTTAATCCAAGGACGAAACACTGTCTATTTCAGTCGAGTCTGAGCCGAGGCCCTAGCCTAGGCTAACAATCAGGCGAGAAAATGAACAGTTTTTCGCACAGGTGCATATTACATTTTTTCGTCGACCTCAAACACTTATATTCACGGTTCTATTCCTACATGAAATCTATCGGATCCCATGAATGAATAATTTGACCAGGCTTGCCAGTTCAACTTTTTTCCCATCAGTATCAATACCTTTTCAAAAATTCAGTAGATTTCAATAGATCTGTTCAAGATCGATCTTTTGCTATACGAATTCCAAGAAAGGATAATGAAATAAACCTATGTCGTCAAAACATTATGTCCATTTACTAAACAGGAAAGTAACCTATTTCCAACAAAATAGAAACAAACAAAACGAACATTTTCATTATGAAATAATCATATATTCCTAATTATCAATTCAATAATACTCACAAATATTACAAAATACAGTTTCATAGGTACTTATAAGGTTAGAGTATATAAAAAACAGGAACGAATAGTGAAAATGAACAACAAAAATACAGAAGAAATGAAAGAATTAAACGTAAGAAACAAACCATTATAACAGAGGTATCTATATAGAAAATTGAATTTGATCTGAATCAAATGAATAATATATGTATACATTAATTACTTATTTTGTAAAATTAATTTAAACAGAGCCTGTCGAAATATCATGAAATTTATAAGTGTAGGTATGTGATTAGCTAAAGATTAATGAAAATATAGGTGAGTATAAGTATAAATAATTGGTCCATTTTTTTTCAGTAGATCATGAAATGTCTCAGTAGATCAATATTCCAATCAGAAGATCTATTGAAAATTCAGTAGAACCGGCAACCCTGCAGCCGACGAAAGTTTTTGCGGACGAAAAGTTACTGTCAGCGGACGAAAAGTATTATATTTTCAGAAAATGATATCTTTTTATCTGAAACCGACACAAAACTCGTCCATTTTGATAGCAAAATCAGCTCTTGAATTTACGTTTCTATTACTGACACAAAAATAGGTATGTTGCTAGGCAACATATTTAGTTTCTAGGAGCTAAAGTTGAACTTTAGTTCCTAGGATTTGTTTCCGATTTCGGCAGATTTGGCATTTCATACCCATGCTGGCGATATAAAAACACCTTATTATAGTTGAGTATAGGAATTATAAACATCTCAGCTGAGTATTTTCGATTTGATCAGGGAAGCCTTCAAGATTCACATACTTGCTTGATCTCGGCAAGCAATAGTTTTTTGTCTCAAACAATGATATTGTTTACCTCCATTTGATTATCAAGTCAAACACAATGTAGTATGGAGAGGAATAAATAATTTTTATTTGATATGCTCACAAACCTAACATTTTCCACGTCTTGTTCATATACCTGGCACTGTCGCGGTATTTGCCATTAGAGCACCTGGTCCATACACAAATATGTCACTCTGTGGTTGTATTCATATTGAAACTAAAATTCGAACATCCTTGAAAATTGAATAAACCTGCTGTTAATACAGGTAGAATATTCTCACCACACGGATTATTTATTTGTTGCATTGCATACATATGGCACGGCATTGGTGGTTACTTCACATATTTATTTGAGTTAATTGTTTCGGTTGCAGAAAAAATAGCATGTTTCATTCGGATCAAAAGTGACTTTGTTTGACTCGCAAAGTGTCAGTTTTGATCCTAATAAAACAATCTACTATTATGTGCTGTGGACGCCCTATTGGTATTTGAGGCGTAACATTTCAATAACCTATACAAGTCCTGAAGGATGTAATGGCATATACCCGAATAAGAACAGCCTTGAGACATCCTTGAAGAGCGTCCTTAGTTGGTCCATTCCTGATAAAGCACCATTTTTGAATTTCATCGACTTTATATCTCTTATACAGTTGTGAAAAAATAATAATATGGCTCGAAATTGATCTGTATTTTAATAATCAGTTTTCGCTTCTCTTTTCAGGATCATTATCTGCCACAAGCACAAATGACTCCCTAAGCTCTAGCTTTTTATGCAGTGCTGTTAATGAGGTGATTATCACAATTTTTCATTAAAGTCTCATAAAGCTTTCCCGAAAGATCGTGAAATGTTCCATTTAAAAAATCGAGATAAATCTTGATGCTTTTAAAAGCTTGATAACGTCGTTCATAATATGTATTTAATTTTGTCGAGCGATTCTGAAAATTTGGTACACTGAATACAATGATTAATATTATCACACAGGGTGATTTACGTAATCCACACATTAGAAGTTATTTAACTAGCAGTTGGATTGAAAATCGAGAATTGGTACAAATTTCTTATTCTAAATAGAAATCTACATTTTTACACACGGTTTGATTGGCCTTCTGATTCTGAGTTAACACAATCTAATGTGTGAAAATATTTCAGATCTTACAGATTTTCGAAAGTTATTTTATCCAGTATGCCTCTTGGAGGGTATCATTATGTGCCTATATATTTTCATGTTGAAAAATGATACATGAAAGAAACCTTCCGGGTTCTTCATAATAATAATAATGAAAAGAATAATAATAAGGTTTATTCAGATTCAGATCACAAAAAAAACAACTAATAGTAACACATGTGCTGAATAAACGTGGTGGAAACCACAGAAGCATCAAATGTTGCTTGTGTGTGGTGAAAAAATAAATAAAAATGAAAATAAAATATGATATCGAGTCATTGTTCGCAGATTAAGCGGTTCGATACGATTTCACTCAAGCTGCATGTGTTCCATATAATAATGAAATATAAGTGATATGCGTAGTTGAAAATACAAAGACATATTAGTTTCTTGGGGTAGATTGCGTTCGGCCCAATTTTCGATTCGCCCACCATCTCCGAATATACCATCAGAACGATGCGTTGCCAAATCTGAATGAAGAATCATTCTGGGCTTATCATTATTGAATATTTCAATCTTGTTATACAGTCAATATGTATGTATGGTACATATTTCGATTTGCCCAATTTTCGGTTCACCCAATTTTCGATTTAGCCAATTTTCGATTCACCCAATTTCCGATTCGCCCAATTTTCGATTTGTCCCAAATTCGATTCATTCAAATTTAGACTGACCCAAATTTCGATCGACCTGAATTTCGACGTAATATAAGGAAGGAAAATATTCTTTTCTGCATAAGGAAGGAGACTACCTTTTCCAAACTACTAAACCTGACCTACCTAACCTAACCTAACCTACCTAACTCGGGCAAAATGAACGTTCTTCCTAGAAAGTATATTTTTCGCATACTTAATTATTATCATTATTATTATTATTATTATTATTATTATTAAATTTTAACAAGGGCAGCATACTCTAGGTGTGGACGAATGTATGATTTATACAATTGATTGAAGAGCCTTGGTTCAGGATGATCGAAGCATTTATTGAGTAAGTAAGCGCGACTGTTTGCCTTACTAACAACAGCTGCAACTTGGTTCGACACTGACAGTTTTTTGTTGAAGATAACTCCCAGGTCGTTGTGATTCTCTACTGCAGGTATGGTCTTGTTATCCAAGTAATAATCGAAGTCGGGGTTATTATTGCCAACGTGCAAAACAGAACACTTGTCTATATTCAAAGGTATATCCCATGTGATGCACCAGTTTTGCACGGACCTCAGGTCAGATTGAAGATCATCATGACTGGATAATGGATTTCCAAAAAACTTGCTATCGTCAGCAAAAAATGCATGGTCAGATTTCAAAACTTCGTGTAGATCCGATGCATAGGCAAGGAATAATGTTGGCCCCAGAACTGATCCCTGAGGCACTCCAGATAAAACTTGGTGAGAGTTTGAGTGACTCGAACAAACCCTCACTCTGAAGACCCTATTAGAGAGGAATGCGGCTATCCATTTGTGGAGTTTTCCTCTTACATCAAAGTGTGCGAGTTTATGTAACAGCTTGTCTCGAGGAACCTTATCGAAGGCCTTGGAAAAATCAAGGTATACTATATCAATAGGTGATGAGGTGTCAAGATATTGAGTCCATTTATCCACGCAGTAGAGGAGGTTTGTTGTAGTTGATCTTCCAGGTATGAAGCCATGCTGGTTGGATGGAATCACCTTGTTGTCGAGCAAAAATGGCAGATGGGCATCAACAATGATTTTTTTCCGCACATAGGGATACCAGGCTAATAGGCCTATAGTTCCTAGGGTCAAGTTTATCCCCTTTTTTGATTATTGGAGTAACTGATACAATTCGCCAGGCCGACGGCAGGTATGACTGAGAAAATGAGAATTCAAAGATATGGCTCAAAGGGCGTGAGAGGACCGATGAGTATTCCTTCAGTATGAAGGCTGGTATATTATCTGGCCCGGGAGATACACCATCCTTGATATTCTTCAGCTTTTCTACTACGATCTCTGGAGGAAAACAGATATGGTTCAGAGAGTTAGGACATCGCCGTGAAACAATGGGATGTAGAGCTGACATGTCGCTTATGGAAAAACATTCTTCAAAATTTCTAGCCAGTACTTCGGCAGCTATGTCGTTAGAATTGCAAACGATTCCATCGCGATCACGGATAATGGGGGTTGAAATTTTGGATGCAAGTTTACTCCTTGTGTACTTGTAAATAGATTTTGATCCTTTGTTTGCAATATTCGATTCAAATTTTCTCTTAGCATTACGTAGATCTCGAGAAAGGTCACAAGAGAAAGAGCGATATGCTTCAAAATGGACATGACTTCTTGTAGCTTTATATCTCGACCAGAGTTTTCTCTTTCTAATTACTCGAGAAAACTTGAGAGACTTCTTTTTTAAAACAATTCAACCTTACTCGGCATAAGTGAATAATCTTAACCTTACTCTGCCTAAATGAACCTTCCTAAAAAGTATATTTTTCGGAAAATTACTTGAGAGAACAAATGAGACCCCTTTGTTTCAACAATCTAACTTGACTCGTTCAAATGAACCCTGATCCTGAATGTGAAATGATTGTTGATAATTCCCGTTTCATTGAATCCGAGGAAATGTGGCATTATTTGACAACAACGCATCTTTCGAGTATGTTCGGAGACGGTGGTTGAATCGAAAATTGGGTGAATCCAAAATTGGGCTAATCAAAAATTGGGCGAATCGAAAATTGGGTCAAACGAGACGTTCCCGTTGCGTGAGCCCAAAAGGTAATCACGTTCAGGGGCGGACTGGACCTTTGAATCGGCCTGGGCGAATTAACCCTACTTTTCCACCTCCGGAGAAAATTTCAAAGCTATTATAGCTATTCATGTAATTTCATCACATATTCTGGTAACATACAGGGTGAATCAGAATAATACCGACAAACTTCGTACACGAATTCCTCGCCTCATTTTGAGGTGAAAAGTTCCTATCAGCGTATGTCCTAAAATGCATCCTCACTGAGATACAGGGTGTCGAAAGTACGGAAAAAGTTAAGATTTCTCTAAATTTCTCCAGGAAGAACCCGGAAGGATTCTTTCATGTATCATTTTTGAACATCAGAATATATACATAATGATGCCCTGTAAAAAGTATACTGGGTGGAATCACGTCTGAAAATTTGTCACTACCTGCCGGTCTATTTGTATCTCGCAAACCGATCAAAATTAGAGCGCCAAATTTATGGGCATTTCCTATAACTAACTCAAACCTGTCTCCATCGAGTTATCCTATAGAAATCGAGAAATGTCTTATCATGTTATCACGAAAAAAAAAATACAGCAATGAGTATTGCAATTGTTGCAAATTGTAATAAACCAACTTTTAAGTTTTTAATCCAACTGCAAATTGAAAATTTTCTAATGCGTGGTCTACGTAAATCACCCTGTAAATGGTTAATTAACATTGATCACTAATTGAATACATTCATCACATTTCTCAAACTGAAATCCAAATCACAAGGTGTAATTTTCAAAATATTAAAACATATAGTTTTAACCCAGTGAGCACGTTTTCTGAACGTTGAATGACGTGTAGTACGGTTGAAACTTCAACGATCTATACAACTTATTTGAATGTTTTTTTTTTCATATTATAACTTCGTGTCGATGCATACCATTATTGAACGTTGAAATTGAAATTCACTTCGAAATACTGTCGATAGATTACTTTGATTTTGAAGGGAAATGTCCAACGGTTAATTAACCATTCACTACTGGAAAATGTGGTTCCTTAACTAATTATTCATTGCCTCTATTAGGTACCTATTCAATTTCTTCCAACAGTTCACTTGGGAAACCTATTTTCATTAAATTATATCCATCATTACATATTACGGGTAAGTACAATGAATAACAAATATTCAAAAACTGTTTTAGGCGAACTCTCTAATTCCACCACCATATTCTCACATGGGAAGCCTAGATGAAATAATAACGACGGAAAGTCAGCAGCAAAACTCGCAACCAACAGTTGACCAAGGATCTACATCTCGATCAACATCTTCGAATTCTAATAGAGAGTATCAACAGGTATAAAAAACTCCTTAACTTAACAATTTTCAACTAAGACAAACCACTTTCAAATTGGGGATATACTGTTACGATAAAGTCAAGGTTCGGTTTTCCATGAACTCTCAATAGTGGACCCAAAACACTTTATTCAAATACAAACACTATACAATTCACGATACACGAGCAGAATATGTTGAAAGCAGGAATAACTGCAGCCAAACAAAAAAGAATCATATAATACCAAAATAAGATCAAAACTCATAGATTGTCCGAATGACTCCCGTTCATTTTGGTTCCTCGTTAATGTGCCCCAAAATTGACAACGATTCTCTGCAAGCCATTTACCATCTCTTAAAAGTCGAATATTTTTCCATCTTGCTGGAAAACAGCTAGAGTCCAACCAATCCCCAAAAATGCAAACGAAAGCCTGCCCAACGACTATAGCCCAATTGCCCTGTTATCAGTCATCTACAAAGTGATGGAGAAAGCCTTCAACATTGAGCTCATCAAATATCTGGAAAGCTCAGGAATCATTAATCATATACAATATGGCTTTCGCCACCGAAGATCAACTGGAGCGTTACTTGCCTACGTCACCATATATGGGCAAGCCTCATTAGAAAAACAAGGGAAATCTCTAGCTGTGGCGACCGTGTTTGGGACCAAGGACTGCTCCATAAACTACCATCATACGGCTCACCACCTCAGCTATGCCATCTTTTATCGAGTTTTCTTTCAGGCAGATCGATTCATTTGGTAGTGGTCGGAGTATCGTCTGATGCCATTGCCATCAATTCCGGCATTCCACAAAATGTTTTTCTTTTTCATGTTCCCTGTATATCACGATAAAGACATTGTTTCTTTGATATTGTTTCAGTTGTGAAGGTCATAGCATAGTAGAATCATAGTTTGGTTAGCTATATTATTCGATAAAATGCTATTTAACATGAACTTGCAATACATCAATTTTTTTTTCTCGTAAATGTACAAGTTTTCTAGAAAACTTGTAGACATAAAAAAGTTAGTGAATGAATTGGGATTTCCAGCCACATTTTTTTGAAAGAAAAATTCGTATCCAAAAAAAGTTGTTATTGTTGAATACCTCCAAAATGCGTTTCGTGTCTTTAGGTTGATACACAAAAGCAGAACCTTTTTATTTCTCATCTTTGGAGGAGTGAAACTTTTCCGGGGAGATGTTTGAAATAGGCAATAACAAAATCCTACCTCAATTTTTATCACCCGTTAACATTTTTGGTGTTATTTAGATACTGTATAAAGGCCACTTCATGAACCCTCACAGTAATCGTAAGCACTGTCGCTCACAGTACCAGAGGTCCGTTCAGGTTCCTGAAGACTCTTCCGATTCCTGTTCTCTACGGAGAAGGTCAACATTTTTCCTTCACCTACGATTGACAGAGGAAGGGGTTGGTTCAGCCATATGGTGCCCCCTGCACAGGGCTAAGGTTTCTCACTCTGAGATGTCGCCCTGTTTCTCAGATACTCTGTTAGAGACACCATACCTCGGTGCCATTTATACATTGCCACAGGTTCCTATAGCTTGGATTAGGTTGCCAGAGCATCGTTGAGCAGTCCTTGGCCACATTGGGAGATAGAAAATCGCTCAATACTTGCCACAGATGTCCACAAATTGTCCCATCTGGTCACAAAATGCTTCATATCTGTCGAGCGGCCGCGGTCTGTCCTCCCCATACTACTAGATGGTGAGGTATGGCTTGAAGGGAAAGAGGAAAAGAGATGTTGGCCAAGGAAGGCCGTTTGGCGACGAAAAAGGGAGAGAGAAGAGGATATAACCCAAGACAAGTTGAAGTATGGTATGGTGACTTACCGGCTGGTATCTACATCTACATCTTATTTGGGTAGCATTCCTTCAAAATGGATTATTCGTTGCGATGTATAGGTACTTCTGAAATATAAAGTTCTTCATCAGTTCTCAGTGCCCTTTCTTGATTTCAGAATTCTTCCTCCATAGGAGGATGAGAAACGAAATACTGTTGCATGAGTTCATAACTGATAACATGATATCATATGGAGCTTTTGAATTAGCATCATATTTTCTACACAAGCATTTCTGTAGTTGGAACCTTATGGTTATTTACTTATATAATAGAGACAGCTTATTAACATAACCTAGGATTACACCTTTGATAGCAATTAACGAACGAGTTGAACATGATAGTAATGCTTCTGGAGAGGTAGAGCCACTCCAATAATTATTATGATCACTAGGTATATATGAGGTTATGAGATACCAAACACATGCATTTCGTAATGAAATTCGGAACACTAGATATGTATAAATTGATACTTACTCAATATTATCATAATTGAAGAAGCCATCTTTCATGTTATCAATTGAGAATACTCCTGCCATCATAACTAACGACCAGGGAAAGTGAGGAACACAATAATTCGACAACAAACCAGAGAAAAACTAAACATACGCTATCACTTGAGTCACATATAATAATGGTCCAAATGATCAGCTGATTGTTGATGTAGACGTTCCGCGAACATCCACCAGGGGGACGAGTAATGAACAGGATATTGGCCAGCAAAGGGCCACGATTCGTTAGTGTTCAACTGATTCTACGCATCTTATGATCATAAGGCCATCATCGTATTTTTTAATGATGGTTACTTAGCATGGGAAAATCATCAGCCCATTACCAATACCCCGGCATCGTCACTTCCCCAGATTTGCCTACCTCCCGGTAGTTCAATGTTTGCTGGGTCGAGCCCACCATTCCGGTACTCACAAGTTGTAAGCCTCCGAGGGTCATTTGGTAGTTACTTATCCACGTCTCATCAATCAGCGGTTGTAGAAAAATATTATTCTTTAATACGTCGTGAAACATAGTGTAGAGTGATAATATTTCAGGTTCTCCAGACCTCGCCTAGTCCCAGCCCTAGCACCTATTCTCTGGTCGGCCCTTTCACTTTTATACCTCCGACGCCCGCCCATCAAATGCCTTCCCACAGACCATTGAACCAGGTGGTTTCAATCAGGGACAATCCGTGTTTCGGACAGAATGCAACGAAAAGTTCGACTAGCGCTACGAGTACCACGACGATGCCAAATGTAGAAAATACAAGAACAGGTATGATATTTGAGTTCAGTACTTGATGATGAACCAGTTATATTGGGGTACCAGTTCATCATAAACTATAATAGTAAATTACATAACAAGAGTTGTGAAATCTATTGAATATCCAGCTACCTCGGGTGTCCCCCAAGGCAGCAACTTAGGGCCACTTCTTTGAAACGTATTCATCAATAATATTATCGAAGTAATCGATGTCAATTGTTTGTTGTATGCAGGCGATTTGAAGATATATTGTGAAATAAATGAAATCGAGGATTGTGATGACTCTCTCTCAATTTAAAAAGCATTGAACAATAGTGCTCCCGTAACAATCTACACACAATTTAATGGTGTTGTTACACAATCAAAAGGGACATGTTTCGGTCTTATCAAATGAAATCTTCAGCCTAATTCAAAGTTTTGGAGTTGAAAAAGTATGATGCTAATAGCTAGTAAAACTGGTGCCGATGCCCATAGTCGAAAAAAATCGAGTTTCGTGGATTCTCAAGACGGGTTTTTAATAAATGAAGGGCCCCGTGCCCTGAGAGCGCATTCAATTCATTAATGAACACTTGTTTGAATCTGGGCTGTTTGTTCCATCAATTTTATTGATATTTTCATATTCAGTAGCGCTTTCATAAGGGCAAGTGAAACTCCTTTTGCAAAAACCCGTTGATAGTATGGTGTTATCCGAATTGTTTGGGCAATTATGCATCACAAACCATCTTGGTATATGGAATTTTCATAGATGAGTTGAGAGTTCCACTAGCTAATATCATCATACTTTTTCAAGTCCAAAACTTTTTATTAGGCTGAAGATGATCTTTTATAAGACCAAAACATCTCCCTTCTGATTGTGTAACAACACCATTACAATTCGTGCAGAAGACTCCGAGCATTATTCCTTCCTTCCTTTGAATAACAATGAACCTCTTTAACTCCGAGGTCATCAAACCAAGAGGAACGAATGATGTCATATTCTGTTTTCCTGAGAGGCTATAGTTTCAATGCAGCAATTTGTTTTTTAGTTTATTGATACCTAGTTCAGTTGTTTCCAATTGTTGACGGTTTTTCACACCTTACAGGTAGTGTAGAAAGCAAATGCCAAAATATCTGTGATGCTTCGGCCGCCATTAGACTTAGGAAAGGATAACACAAGCGCAAGCTTTCTAAAGACGATTCGGGAAGCCAAATGGAGGACGACTACAACTTCTCTGATCTCCTTAATCTATTCGTGATGGTGCCAAGCACCATAGCGCATGTGCAGTACAACAACTCCATTCAAACATGTCTTGTTTCCCTGAGAGGCTATTTTCAATGCAGCAATTTGTTTTTCAGTTTATTGATACCTAGTTCAGTTGTTTCCAATTGTTGGCGGTTTTTCACACCTTACAGGTAGTGTAGAAAGCAAATGCCACAGCTTTCCAAAGACGATTCGGGAAGCCAAATGGAGGACGACTACAACTTCTCTGATCTCCTTAATCTATTCGTGATGGTGCCAAGCACCATAGCGCATGTGCAGTACAACAACTCCATTCAAACTACCCGTCACCTGCAGGAATGACGTCATGTCTTGTTTCCCTGAGAGGCTATTTTCAATGCAGCAATTTGTTTTTTAGTTTATTGATACCTAGTTCAGTTGTTTCCAATTGTTGACGGTTTTTCACACCTTACAGGTAGTGTAGAAAGCAAATGCCGAATTATCTGTGATGCTTCGGCCACCATTAGACTTAGTGAAGGATAACACAAGTGCAAGCTTTCCAAAGAAGATTCGGGAAGCCAAATGGAGGACGACTACAACTTCTCTGATCTCCTTAATCTATTCGTGATGGTGCCAAGCACCATAGCGCATGTGCAGTACAACAACTCCATTCAAACTACCCGTCACCTGCAGGAATGACGTCATGTCTTGTTTCCCTGAGATGCTATTTTCAATGCAGTAATTCGTTTTTTAGTTTATTGATACCTAGTTCAGTTGTTTCCAATTGTTGGCGGTTTTTCACACCTTACAGGTAGTGTAGAAAGCAAATGCCAAAATATCTGTGATGCTTCGGCTACCATTAGACTTAGTGAAGGATAACACAAGCGCAAGCTTTCCAAAGACGATTCGGGAAGCCAAATGGAGGACGACTACAACTTTTCTGATCTCCTTAATCTATTCGTGATTTTTTAGTTTATTGATACCTGGTTCAGTTGTTGCCAATAATTGTTGACGATTATTTTTCCCACCTTACAGGTAGTGTAGAAAGCAAATGCCAAAATATCTGTGATGCTTCGGCCGCCATTAGACTTAGTAAACGATTACACAAGCACAAGCTTTCCAAGGACGATTCGGGAAGCCAAACGGAGGACGACCACAACTTCTCTGATCTCCTCAACCTATCCGTGTGCGTGCCCAGCATTCCCGTGCAAACCACCCCCCAGCTGCAAGAGCTGCAGTACAGCGTGACCAACAGCATCGGATCGGACATCAGCAGCTTGGCCAACCTGGGGTCACCTGATTCGCCTCCGAGGGCTACTAGCCCCACGGTGGAAATGCGGGAGTTGCTGGACAAGATACAGCAGCTGCCTCAGCAGAAGAGTCCTGTGCCTAGCCTCGGTCAGCCGCAGCTGCAGCCTGAGCTGAAGTTTAGTCGGAATTATTTCCACAAGGTCAGGGCTAAGACTCTGTACATGCCGTTGTGCGAGGAAGGTTCCAGTAAAACGAAAATTATTCCAAATGGTAAGGGGATCGTTCATTGGAGGAGATCTGATCAATGAAGTCAATATAAACACCTTGGAAGGGATCCTCTGTGAACGACGATTGAGGCAAAAATATTGTTCAGGCAACCCGCAATGGTTGAAGATACCTATCTCTTTCTATCTCATGTTGGCTAATGGGAAGCGCTCGCATTATTTGAAATATTTTCTTGTATTCTGCGATTGAATATAAATATTCATTTAGGGAAAAGGATAATGTTGCAATCAATAATCAGTAAAAAAATATTATCATTGATTATTTTATTTATTCAAATGTCACAATATATTGAACAGGGTGAGTGAAGCTCAATGTCTCAGCACTATCAGAAGAAATAAAAAAACGATAAAAAAAATTTGAAAAGATGTTCTTGAATGGTATCGAGTACCTAAGGTCTATTTTAAGCCTAATTTTTGAGAGTACCTATTTTTTTCATGAACATTTCACTATTACTAGGTGAATGAAAGGTGAATAAAAAAGTGAATAAGTTCAATGGTAGGACAAATTTCTTCATTAAAGATGAATATCCGCTTCGCCCAGAATGTACAACTTCATCTTCTCCTTTCTGGAGAAGGAGAAGCTCCAAAGACAAATCTGAAAAGAAAAGAAAATTTGAACTTGTAGTTTTTACCTTCAAAATGTTTTTTCAGTACCTCATCAAGATTGTCATTCTCCTCTCTACTTTTGTTTCAGTGTTTTCACTTTTCTTTGCAATATAATAGGCCTTCTCGAATGAAATAGTTTGTGGGTTTCATTATCAATAAACTTTGAAACTTACATGGGAGCTCGAAGTTGTAAGCAAATCAATGTCCATATGAAAAACATTGTCCTTAGAATCCAAGTTATGAACATCCACAGACACATCCTGAAAATAAATTGCTATAGTTTTTCTAAGAATCTGAACAATTTTCAACTTACCCATGGAGAGAAATTTCTGTTTGTCTTTGCATCCAAAGGCATCACAAAATTTCCCAACGATAATCAATTCACACCAACAAATTCAGTCCTTCTGAAGAAACAAAACATGCAAAATTTTGCGATATTTCACATAACAAAAAACAATGAAGTTCTGTCTCCACTTTTTTGCCTGTTCAGATGATGTAAAGAAGATCACAAGTACTCCAATTATTGTATGAAAGAAAATGTATACACCAATCCGCCATTGAACAACACGAGTATGACAATATAAGTTCTCTGATGCATCGTTAGTTGCATAACGCAACGACTGCAAATTAAAATACGTGAAATAATCTTGATGAATCCAACTTATTATATTGATAATTATAGAAAATTCATTATCTTGCTCGAAACTTATGTTGTTTGGAAACCACACGAGCGCATAGCGCATAGATATTTTTATTTCGATGAAGATCAATTTCATCTAATTTTATCTCATTTCATCTATCTATCTACCTACACAATACACTTGTTGTAATTTATACGATCATTTCTATTTCTAGTATTTCCGAAGAACTGGCTATCTAGATCAGCTCCTTGCACGCCATGTGGAAACTTCGTACCGAATTTTCCGACCTACCTTCACAAAGGCGGCCAAAAAGGAAGTAAAACGAAAATTTCTGATGGCAGTCCCTTATTGAAGGAGCATACAGAAGAATCCGAAGAGGAGGATAGAAGAGACGGTCGCTCGTGATTTTCAAAATAAAAATGCTTCTTGGTGGTTTTAACTGTCCGATATGGAATAGGCCTCATCGATATTCCATGCCGAATCGCAGATTCTTAAAAAGATGCCGCTGTGATATGACATTTCAACATGATTTTATTTTAAAACATATAGGTGACACGTTCCATACAGTACATGTATATCCAACGTACGTACAATGTACGTACACTTCGGATCGTAAGGACGTCCAATGGACGTACTCGAGTGTACGTTCAACGTCCAATGGAAGATCACTGGATGTCCTGAGAACACCACTCTGGGACGTACAGTGGATATATATATATATTTGGATAAACAATGGATGCTCATCTTCGTATTCACAATGGATGTCGATATCTGAGCAGCCATTTTGGACGTACCAAATTGGACTTTAAACGTCCAATGGATGTCCATTGGATGTCCTGAGGACACCACTTTGCACGTACAATGGATTTTCATATGTGAACGTATAATGGAATTCTCAATCAAAATACTAACAGAATTTGGTAGATTTTAAAATAATTTTCGACAATAGGCAATTAGACCACAATGTTTATACAATATTGAAAAGGATCAAGGAACGAATTTGACTCTCATTCCCCTCGAAAATCAAACTCTGTTATCTCAAATTCCCCTATTTTGAGGGAAGAAAAATATACAGTGGGATATTTTTGGAAAGCTCTTCAATAGATCTCCTTGGTGAAGAATTATATAGAGTGTAACATTCAAACTACAAACACTTTTTGCTGTTCTCTGTATATTTTTAGATGGTGAAAATGTATCTGGTGATTAGAGAAGAAAAAATCTCCAGTAAGGTTGTTTTTATTGTTTTCTCAAACAGGCAAAATTCGAAAAGTTGTAGGAAGTGATACTTCATAACGTTCCACATGTTCCTATAAATGTTTTATTATTTTCATCCCCACCGGTCTAATTTTGAGTGTCTCGATTTAAGTGAGCATAAATTAAAATGCCAAATCCATAGAGAAACTCTAGTTATAACTCGGAATTTTACATCCAATATTCCGATCAGTTATAACACGGAATTTTAAAATTCCGTGTTATAACTATAATATAATATAATGTAATTTATACCAACTCTTCTAGAATTTGAGATATCAACACCAACTTTAGTTTTTCAAATGTAGGTCATAGCTCACTATGACTTAGTTAAAAATAACTTTTTTTTCTCTAACAGATGATATGTCGCAGTAATAGTTTTGTGTTGATAACTACGGCGTTATCGTCATTTATACAAAAACAAATAATTATTTGGAAGCCGCCATCTTGAATTTATGAATTTCAACAAAAAAATCATGATCTCCGACCTCAAAAACCCCTACTTACCGATTTTGAATGGAATCGGACCAAATCTTGTCCGCCATCTTGGAGCAGCCGTTTTTTTAAATTTCAACAAAGGCACACAAAGAAATGCCACAGAAGAACAAAATCAATACTTCAATGTCCTTTAAAGACCTCTTTGGGAGTGCATATCACTTCTCAAAACATCCGAAAACATCCGAAAACATCCCAGGCATACCTCTCAGTAGGCACACAAAGAAATGCCACAGAAGAACAAAAACAATACTTCAATATCTTTCAAAGACCTCGTTGGGAATGATTAAATAAATAAATATCTTTATTTTCCTTTAGACTTTATAAAAAAGTATAGGAATACCTACTCAGGTTCTTACAAAAATATGAATCGATAAACTAGACTTGATAAATGACAGCTTACATAATATGATAGACGAACATTATACAGGGTGTCCCATAAGTAATGGATCAGAAGAAGTGGTGTGGTAGGGGGGGGGGGGGGTCATTTTTAATCAAACTGTCGGTAAATGTTGTAATAAAATTGTTGATGGTTCAAAAGTTATTCAATTTTTCTGAAAACTGCGACCCATTTGAGAAAAAATAATAACAAAAATACTGTTTTGAATAACCTCATATGTATACCATTTCAGAATCTGTATTGAATGGGCAACTTTTCCTTATGATTGGTAGTCTTTGTGGGGTAGATTTCGAATTTGCCAGCGGCATTTAAAAATCGACCTTAATATTTCATTCGATAACAAAACTCAAGGAAAACAACATTCAGGTAATTGATAATAAATAATACATGTCATAAAATTATTTCTGGGGAAAGATGCATCCATGTGGATGACATTTGTAAAATACAAAATCACAAATGTGACATATTTTTATTGTAATTTATTATTTTCATAGAAATGGAAAAACAATTATAACTTTTGAATCATCAACAATTGGATAAACACATAAACAGTTAGTTTGATTGGAAATGACCCTCCCTACCACCAAACTTCTTTTGATCCATGACTTATTATGGGACACCCTGTATATAAGAGAGGAACATTATACAGGGTGTTTAAAAAAAACTGACCCCCTTGCTAGGGTAGGTAGAAGACTGCAAAATAAGTTGAATTTGCTCAGTAAAGAAATGTCGTAACGGCATCCGTTTTCAAGATACAAGGTGTTGAAAAAATGATTTTTTTACACATTTTTTACGATAATGTCGAAACTACTGGCAACATTGTGATGAAATTTTGTATGGATGTTTCTTGGAACCTGGCACATGGCATGAATTTGTTTCTCTATCTGACTCTGACAGATGGCGCTAGTTACACGGTTCGTACATAGTAGTTTTAAACATAACTTTCTTGAGGTTATATTTTTCAATCCAAATTTGATGAGAACTTGAACATCATTCAATTTCACACCAAAAAGGTACTCTTGGTGAAACTTGATACTGTTCCGTTCCGATGTTGAAATATTTCGATTTGAAAATGATGAAGTGATAACTGTTGCTGGTATAAAGCTATGTATTAGAGTGAGAATTATAAAAAATCATCACCTATTTATTGCAAACCGAAAAAAACAATACATTTCAAATGCTAAACTCATTGATTCACCAATGTTTCATTAGAATAACATCGAAACAAGCTTTACTAAAATCATGGATTACACAGTTTTGTTGTATCAAGCAAAAAGTGTATGCTACAGAGGTAAATTCACGTCTGGAGTTGTAAGTCAGAATTGAACATCACTCAGATGACCTTACAGCTGATCCTCAACCCTCAATATGATGTTCGAGTTCACATCAAATTTGGGTTGGAGAATCTAACCTCAAAAAAGTTATGTTTAAAACTAATCGGTACGAACCGTGTAACTAGCGCCCTCTATGAGAGTCAGATATAAAAACAAATGCATGCGATGTGTCAGGTTCCAAAAAACATCCATACAAAATTTCATCACAATGTTGCCAGTAGTTTCGACGTAATCGTGAAAAATGTGTAAAAAAGTCATATTTTCAACACCTCGTATCTTGAAAACGGTTTCCGTTACGACAAGTAGAAACAATTTCTATGAGAAATGATTTCAAGCATTTTTTGAAAGACGATACATTTTTTGCGTTTTTCAAATATTCAGGTAAGTTATTGAATATATTAGAACCTGGTGGTGTATTACTCAAAATATTAGTTCTGCTTGGTTGAATATAGAATTCGTTCCTAGAGCGAGTATTCACATCAGTGCATATCACGTTCCAAAAAACATTTTATTCATGCCAACATTTTCAAAACATCTCAAAACATCCCAGGGATATTTATGCTCGCTGGGTGGTCTCACTTACACCAAAGCCAAGAAGCTGATTTGATGCTTATTTTCATTTTACCCAAGCATGAAGATATTGAAGAGTACGTATTTATCTCTTCCTATGGCCTTCCTATATATCGCTGTTGAATAACAAAAAAATCACAGGATTTAAAATTGTGGGACATCGAATTTAGCGAAAAAGTAGAGTAAGCTATACAAATTCAGGATGAAACTATGTAATCCATAGTGACTAAAAGTTTCACTTTCATATAGTGGAGAAGAAATCACTATCAGTCATCTTCCCAATATTTATTAAGATTGTACATGATTCACTTATCGACAAACTTTTTTTCTGTGACGGGAAGAAAGTTTGTTCATCTCTGTTGACAGGTTATAAAATGCCACTTTTCAATTATTCTTTTCCCACGAGAAAAAAGTGAGAATCGATTCATCTCGAAAATTGTGAGTCGTTAAGTAAAAATGATGATTTTTTCATAATTCCTGGTCAGACTGCCGAAAATTGCATAGAAAAAAAAACTGAAAAAATCACTTTCAATGAATTTCTGAATGATAGACGATACATCAACTTTGCATCAAACAGGAATTTGAAGCGGGGATTATTATTTTCTTCTACAATAAGTGTTTCAAAATTCTTCCGCTATTCATCTCCTTTCTGCATAATCGTTTGATTTGTTATGGCTTCGATGAATAAAAAAAGCAGTTTTGCCAAAAAAAAAGAAGCTATTATGAAGAAATTTCAAACAACAATCGCGAGCAACAATATTCAATATTGTTGAATGTCTAAAAGATAAAACAATTCAATTCTTTCCTCGCCTATAGATTTTTTCTGTAAAAAGAAGGAAATGTAGCGAAGAAATATATTGTCACTATTTTTATAAAAATCGATATTTTTTGGGAATCTGAAAATTATGTATCTTGTAAAAGACTATTTGAATTGTTGAAATTGTGTGGAATAATAGTTGTGTTTAGTGAATAATTTATACTCTCGATAACTTTGCCAAGTAGATATATTCAAAAATGTATGGTAGGTTGAAGGCTATTGTAGAAAGAATTTAACTAGAATGTTTTTCTATCATCTTTTTGCAGTTGAAAAGTATCCTCTACCGATTCAATCAATACTGATAGATCATTTTGACTTCTATTCCAGGTTGTTGAAAGATTGATCGAAAATAATTTGATTAAAATCATTTTGCCCAAAAATCGAGTGAAATAAACAAGAAGAATTCCTACATTATTGAATATTTTCAATTCAGACCATCAATCTTATATATTGAACTTCGAATTTTGATAGATTTTTCAAGTTCCATTGAGTATGAATATGATGTAGGTAGAATCGATAGCTTATTTCACGAAATCTAGTGAAACATATTTTTTTTTTGATATTTAAGTGAAATTTTGAATATATCTTGTTATATTATGTGAAATAAAAAATAAAAATGTTAACTTATCTTTTTATTCACAGTTTGTTACAGTTATTGATTTGATAGTTACAATTTACAAATGAAGTCATTCAACAAAAATATATACAAGTCGTCAAATTATAAGTACAGACATTCGCATTGCATCTTTTCAACAATAGAAGGCAATAAAATATTTCATCATCAAAAATAAATAATGTACAAGATCTATAAAAGATTACTGGGTTTCCTATCATCTAAATAACATAATGTACAATAATCTCTTATATGTAGCTAACAAGGTTTTGTGGCCCGGGCGATCCGCAATCAATTCACCTTCCCCCTGTATACAGGGTGTTTCATCCCAGGCAACCAGATGACGAATGATCACGTCACTGTGACGTCCCTAATTGGTGATTTTTCGTCAGAGACGTCACACACCAATTTATGACGTCACTATGACGTACTTTCTATGACGTGATAATCACGTCATCGTTTCGACGTCGATTGAACGTCACTTAGATGGGTAAAAGAAGACGTCAGTTTGCAGACGTTGCAGGGACGTCCTGTCGACGTCTATTATTCCCAGACCTTCTCTAAACCATGGATACTTATATATTATCATGTGAAACAGAAGTATAACTCAAATCAGCATTTGAGTTTTATTAAAATTATTAATATACCCGAAAAGTAGGAGAAATCTTTTTTGTAAAAAGCTTTGACACACTGTATATCTCGGAAAGCAACAAGCTATGTATATATACAAATGATTGTTTAGGTATACCTATATTGAAACCGTCACTCTATGACGTTGCAGTGACGTATCTATGACGTCTAAAAATCACGTCATTGTGACGTACCAATTTGGTAAGCTTCGTCATTCAAAAAATTTTTCAATAATTTGCTATTTAGATTTTTGTTGGGTGACAAAGAATGCATCAATATACATTATTCAACAAAGTGAAGCCAAATTTGCCAACATCCTTTCTATTGCTATCAAACGATTCTTTGTTTGCTTACATCTCACCGACACAAACTACATAGTTTTTGATACAAATACGAGTATTTGATTGCATTCTGATGGAGATGCGTACTGAAGAATAGCGCTGCTGAATAGGCGATTGAATGAACATGACACAGGAGTGACCCACCAAGCAGACTCAACAATGCATAATCAATATTATATAATGTCATCAGAAGCCAGTGGTGTTTATCACACCGTGTTTAAGGAATCTTTTTCACGTATCATCGCCAAATTTAATCGTCATTTTGACGTCAGTCGGACGTCACAGTTTGGTGAGTGAATGACGTCAATACGACGTGAGTAATATGACGTCATTAGGCTGTGACTTTTTCACGTCATTATCACATCATGCAACGTCAACTACTGACGTCACCTTGGTCATTCAAGTGACGTAAACAAGACGTCACTGAAACGTCATCTGGTTGCCTGGGATAATATATGCGCAGGACTTCAGGATGCGATAGCTCGTTCAAAAATATGGAAAAACAGATTCTATCAACTTACCCTCTGGAATGCACAATTTTCGAGATACAGGGTGTTGAAATTTGAAAAAAAAAATCGTTTTTGCGAATATTTCTAGAACCGTTGATCGCGCAAAAAACTGTTTTCGTAAGCATTTTCTACTCATAATAAGCAATTTTTTGTGCAGATTTTTTTTCAGGTCATGATTAGAGAAGATTTTGAAAGGGTAGTGAGTGTTTTCCTCCCCAACTTCTACGCCACTGGAAAAAGTACAGGTTTGAGCAACCCAACTGCCGATATTTCCGACACAAAAAAGTTTTTCGTGGTCAGACTTTGAATTTTTTTTTAAAAATTGCTGCGTTTATTGAAGCTAACCAACAATTATTAATTTAACTGAGTATGATTTGCTTTTTTTGTTCAAATTTGTAATATGAAGTTGACCTTTGGTTTTGTTACCTGTTCTGAAGTTCAGATAGATTTGTTTAACTGGTAAAAAAAAATTTTACTATGATTTACAACATGAAATTTGATTTTTCTCATAAACGGTCAACTTTAGAGCTTATGATCACGTGTATCTTTTTTATGTAGAAAACATTGGCCGTTCGAATGGGCGGCTCAAAACTGTTCTTTTCCCAGTGGCGTAGAAGTTGGGGAGAAAAAATTTCACTAACCCTTCAAAATCATCACCAATTATGACTTAAAAGCAAAAAACTCCTCGCCAAACATAGCTTATTATGAGTAAAAAATGCTGTTCTCTGTGCAATAAATGGTTCCAGGGATATTCGCAAAAAACGATTTTTTTTCGAATTTCAACACCCTGTATCCCTGTATCTCGAAAATGGAGCCTTTTAGAGGGAGGTTTGATAGAAACTTTTCTTCATATATATTATGTAACACCCTGTATAGGGTGATCTATACACATATCAATGGCAAAATATCGAAATCAAACTATGACAATTGGCCAATATGACCTTGATGAAATTTTGATAGATAAGAATTTCTATGGTGGCATTGAGTAATTTATTTATCAAGTTTAAACAGGTATACCTACCTCGTTTATTCATTAATGTTGTTTGTACAAAAGTACCATCGCCATTCATTTAACATAAAAAAATTATAGTTAAAAAAGTCAACATTATACTGAATAATGATGCATGTGTCAAAGCGTGAAATATGTGAAGAGTTGGGAAACTTCCATGTCATATTTTTTGGGCTAATACCTCAAATCGTAAATGAAATATCTGTATACAGAACACCAAAGAAGATACAGGGAATGGTACACTATTTCCAGATCACCCAGTACCTGTAGCTCAGAAGTGACATAAAATGAAAATACATCCAGCATATTTGCAGTGATATTTAAAAAAATGCAGAGTGTGCAATTTTTCTTACATTCCTATAGGACCTCACATCAGGGATACGGTACTTATTATTTATGCATTAAAATTATCAGTTCATTATTTCGCAAAATAATTAGAAGGTTAAAATAATAATAATAGAGAAATATTCAAGAAAAATATCGACCGGTAATTTTTAAAACCTATATGGCGCAAAGTATCGACTAATCGAAAAAAATCATACTTCATTCTGGCAGTTAAATTGATACGTTAGCAGTTATCAGCTCGATTGTTACGGAAACTAAAAATATTTGACTAAACACATACACACAGAAATAATAAATTAATAAAAAAATTGAGTCTTGTCAATGGCTGTCAAGCGCTTCGATTTTGTTAATATCAAAGAGCTTCGTCCCCACTGTGGTATCCATTCCTGTTCAGGGGTTGTCTCTCTGGTGCAGAAGATGGCCTGTTCCTTTTAAAGAAGCCACACTGAAAACAAAATAAGAGTAACAATACTAACTACGAAGAGATCATTCTGGTAATTGATTAGATTCATAGATTTATTGAGAGAGACAAGTCAGGGTTCCAGTGCCAAACACCACCACAATGACGGAGTTCAGTCCAAGGTCCCATCACCGTTTTTTGTATTTGTTCAAGTCAATTCACCTTTGATTTTTTTTTATCGCTTGGAGCGCACGAAAGGGAATCCCTATAATGTTCAAAGAACATCGTTCGTTCCTAGGGAGGATAGGGACAGGAGGTAGGTATTGGAATGTTTTTTGAACTTTTGGAGATTCAATCTTGTTGGGAATACTTCCTCAGGCAATGAATTCCAGAGCCTAGCCGTTCTATGGATGAAGGAGCCTTGATAAAGTGCTGTTCGACATCTTTCGAGGTTGACAACGAAAGGATGTGCTGATTGGTATTGCTAGTGAAGGGATGATAGCAGAGATTTCCGAAGAACATTTCACGTGGAAGTATCGATAGAAAAGTGAAAGGTCGCCGACCTTTCTACGGTGTTCCAATGATGTCAAAGAGTGAGTGAGTGTGGCGTCACCCACCAGGCGAATGGCTCTTCTCTAGATGGAATCTAAGAGCATCAGCGTATGTTCTGGTGCTGAACCCCATATGTGGGAACATTATTCTAGAACAGGCCGTATCTGCGCTTTGTAGATCATGAGAAGCTGTTGAGATGTAAAGTAGCTTTTCGCACGAAACAGGAATGTGATGCAGCTTTTGCTGATGGAAATACCGAGCATAGATATGGTGGGCTTGGTGGGGATGGTGGAGCCAGACATTACAATATTGGGCATACTGAGTTCCGCCTTTCTAGAGAAAATGCATGCTTGAGTTTTGGTGGCGTTGAATTCAACTAGGTTGTTTGTTCCCCAGGCTGTGATTTCAGCAAGATCTTCATTGGCAGCATTGACCTGCCTGCGCCGTGAGTTCTTAGTTTCCTGGGAAGAAATGGGAATTCTGGAAGAGAACGCAGTATGGAGGGTACTATCATCTGCAAAGCTGTGGATAGGGCAAGTTGGTACTCCCAACAGATCATTGATATGAAGCAGGAATAATGTTGGTGCCAAAATTGATCCTTGTGGAACGCCGGAATTGATGCCAATGGTATCAGACGATACACCGTCCACCACCACGTGAAGCGATCTGCCTGAAAGAAAACTCGATAAGAGATGGCATAGCTGAGGTGGTAAGCCGTATGATGGTAGTTTGTGGAGGAGTCCTTCGTGCCAAACACGGTCGAATGCTTTAGATATGTCCAACGCGACAGCTAGAGATTCCCCGTGTTTTTCTATTGAAGATTGCCATGAATGGGTGACGTAGGCAAGTAGATCTCCAGTAGATCTTCGGTGGCGAAAGCCGTATTGTCTATCATTGATGATTCCTGAGCTCTCCAGATATTTGATGAGCTCAATATTGATGGCTTTCTCCATCACTTTGGAGATTACTGATAACAGGGCAATGGGCCTGTAGTTGTTGGGCAGGTTCTTGTTCCCTTTTTTGGGGATTGGTTGGACTCTAGCTGTCTTCCAGCATGATGGAAAAATACCCGACTTGTACGAGATGGTAAACAACTTGCAGAGAATCGGTGTTAATTCTGGTGCACATTTTTTGAGGATAATGGGTGGAATTCCATCAGGACCGTTAGCCTTATTCGTTTTGAGACCAAGCAAAATTCGTCTGATAGTGCGTTGACGAAAGACGATTTCAGGCATTCGACTCTCAACGGGAGGAATGTGAATCATTAAATAATATTCAAATAATATGGTGTGTCATTTCCCAGTTAACCAGACATGTCTCTGCTCTATCATAAGAGAGATCAGTCGAAGAACTTTGTTTCATCATACCGTTCTGAAACATAGGCAACTTGCATCTAAAATATATATAACATGTGAAACTTTTACAAATCAGTGTTTCATCACACGTTTTATCAATGTGATGAATTTGAGGCATTCCGGGCATCATCCCAAAGGAGATCATTGGAAGAACTCAAAAAGGAGATTAACCAATGAATTTTGTTTCATCACACGTTCTATCAACGTGGTGAAGTTTAGGCATCTTAGTCGTCATCACAAGAAACTTTGTTTCTTCTTGTTATAGTAGATGTTATTTACGGCTGCATATATAAAATTGTTTTCAAAAATCATATTCTCGTTCATAAGATATATTCAGCAGCCTAGGGGTGTAATTGATATACAGATTCATACGATACTATCTGCATAACGCTATTGGACCTGGTGTTAGGTAAGTTACTTATTTCATGTTATTGTAGACATCATCATGTTAAGACTATCTCTATTTCAGATTGTCAAGTTTGATAAGAATAAATATTACTTATACTTTACATTGGTCTTGTCCTCTGTACTGAGCTTCATTGTGCAAACCCATATTCGTTACAGTACGTTCTATGAATGTAATTAAATAATTAAGGCATATATCTCAGGCGGAATCACGAAGGAGATCAATTGAAAAAACTATGTTTCATCTCACGTTCTATCAACGTGATAAAATTGAGTAATTCCAGGCATCATCACAATTTAGATCAATTGAGGAACTTTGTATCATCACATTGGAGAACTTGTGGCATCACAACGTTCTGAAACTGAACTGATGCAAATATATCTCGTGCTTGTATAAGGTAAAAACAGGGATAATAATAAATTGTGATCTGTTATTGTGAGAATTTGAGTACGTGAAATTCAAATTTGTGGTAAACAACCACGAAAACGAACAATGTCATAAGTTCTGTGCTTTTTACGTATATTGTGTTTACTGGGCTTCAACCTCACTTTTTCTGAGATTTTCAAGACATTTTGTAACAAAATTAGCAGCACCAAAGGACAACCGCCGGTTGGGTGGTTGTAGGTACATATTATAACTAACCTCTCATACCTATTTCATATTTTCATTTTACACATGTTTTGAGCTTCGTTAACGAATTTGTCTATGGGTTGGAATAAGCTTCATATTTTTATTCTTTTTGTTTCACTATTTCGGATGCCGATTTTTCAATTTCGACAATTGATGAAATTTCACGAATAAATCCTGAATATCTTGGATGTTACATTTGATATTGATACAAATACTGGTGGACGGTGAAACCAGTATAAATTTATTGATGATAAGGGATGGAGCCAATGCAGAGCACAGATTTGTCAAAAGCGTCTCTGGCATGTTCCATGGAAAGAGCCAAATGTTCGTGCCACATTTTGATCTCGGCTTTGATGATAATTTTAGGAATATCAGTTAGATATATATCCAGTAGTTGATCATATTGATTCTCTAAATCAGTTGCTTGGCCTGCAGTTCCTACTGATGTTGGTGATAATAAGTTCATAAATCCGCTCAAAATGTCTTTATGATTTGTAAATCTCTCTTCCAGCTGGTTGGTGAAAAAAATCGAAAGTTTGACCTTTTTTATCTTTGAATTTATCCAATAGGGGAAAATTATATGATGGTGGCGGAGTCCAAAGTGTTTGGATTGTTTTTATTTTATCTGGAACTGCACCGTGTCACCGTGTGAACAATTTCCTATATCTCCTGGATGGATTTGTTCCAGAGATTTAAAATGTTTATTGGGAAAAATAGAAGCGGAATTTTCATTCAACTCCAACTGTAAAGGCAAATCACTATCATCTGTTTTAGTTGCTGATGTAGAAGTCACCCCATTAACATCATCATCGTTGAATTTTCTTTTGAATAATCTAGATAAATCACTTTGTTTCATCATTATCTAATCATACACTGAAGGTAGGTAACTGGTAAACATTGAACACTCAAACAACTGCACCTCTTACTTGTTATCGAACGTACACTCTTTACCTAGAATGAACGAACTGACTGAATAACCCAGATAGCACAAATTGTTCTAAGAATATCCTGAAAATCTCCTGAGGAAATATTCCATAGATATTTCCTAAGATTATTTTATGGATATTCCGGGAATATCTGAATGTTTTCAGAATAATTCAGGAATAGTTTTTTAGAATAATTTGTGAATATTCTCAATAGTATATTCGGAAAATATATTTTTAAAATGATGTATGTATAATTCGATTGGATAACCTTATTTTGAAGAATATTCTGGCAATATTATTCATGGAATATTCATTCAGAATAAAGAATGTGCTGAATATTGATAATTTTCAAGATTAACAAGTGGTGTTTGTTCCTAAAAGACATGATTGTGTAAATATTCCAAACATCCAACAAGATCACAGCCGGCTCTAAAGCCCGGCGTGGCCAGATAAAGTAAGAACGTCTATGTACGGACGTGGAAATGCTTCAAAGGAAAAAGGAAGAATTGAAGAAGAAGAATCTGATTTGCAGGTTAGTGGTCATTTGATTCCCCGATATTAATATCGGGGAATCACAGCCCAAGACCGAAAATCCCAGCAAAAGAACATTCGACCTACACTGAAAAAACATGCTTGCACTATTCGCAGAAATGTTGACGTATTTCTGTGGCATATTCATAATTGACCAATTTGGCTACTTACACAGATCAGTATCTAATTATTTGAATAATGAAACTGAGAGAATAAGAATATTTTTGATCATTTATGGCCAAGTGGAATGTAATGATCCCACCAGAGTTCAACCCATCTTATTCTCACTTTATAAGTTTATAACTGATGTTTTTCTATCGGCATATGGGCCATGGGAGGGGGGATATATCCCCCTTATTTCCCCCTGTGGGTACGCCACTGCGTAATATGACAACTGTAATACAAAATGAGAAACGATCGACCATCGACCTACCTTGCTGAGTATCCAGATCAGCAGCAGCAGCATGACGATACCAGCAACAGCGGACAGCACGTAGATCCATAAGGGCGCTACCTCAGTCACCAGTTCGGCCTCCTTCCCTGGTATATCCGTGAAGATCTCGTGCCTCCTCAACACCTCTTCTCTAGCCTCACCAAGGTACGGCAGCTTGGTGATCTTCCCCACCATCATGGAGGAGACCTTCACGGCTTGGCTATTGGTGAGCTGAAAGGAGGTTTCGTCACTTAACAATGCTGAACCCAGGCAGCACCAGATATTCCATGAATATTCATAGAATATTATTTTTGGATATTGGGAATATTCATTACCATGCCAGGAATATACATATCTTCTACGGAATATTCCCGGAATGTGCTGGTGGGGATCCCAGTTAACACAGGATATCTTATGGATATCCATTTCAAGTCCTATTCAAGGCGGGATATCCGTGGACATAAAATGTATATCCATAAGATATCTGATTGCGGATGTACTTGAGATATCCGAAACAAACGTCCCGAATACGTCCATAGGATATCCATAAGATACAGAGACAGAAGATCAATGAAATTTCAAATCAGGTATATGGATGAAATAATAAATAAATAAAAGGAGATCCACAAAAGTAACACTTGTGCGTGAGTCTTCCAAAAGATGGCACACAATGTGATGCACTATCTACTATTATTATCAATTCGGTTTTCAAAAACAGCGCGAGGTGGCGTAACGTCTCAAATATTCCAAGATTGGTAGAACTGATGATTATTTATAGATCATCGACTCTACCAACCTTGGAATAGTCAAATAATGTCAATCTGTTCTCATACTTAATTAATTTGAAGTGAATTTGGAAGTGATTCCTATGAATTCGTCCAAAATTGATGATGCAGAAGAACTGACAACTACATTATTCGAACGCAATGAGACGTGAGTGCTTCCCGATTTTGTGATTTTTTCTATATATAGGGTATACTATCTCTTATCCATATCCATAGTTGATATCTTATTATGGATATCCATAATGAATATCTTTAGGACATCCAAAAAGGTCACACTGTCACATCCTATGGACGTCCATAGGATATACCATCCTTTTTCGGATATCTTATGGACATCCACAATATCCATGATGGATATCCATAGTATATCCATAAGATGTACTTATGCTATCTCGGGAAGAATGTACATATTCCTAGAATATTCACAAGGAATATTCCCTATATATTCAGAATTATATTATTGCCAATGGTTTCATCGAGTTCAAAAACTTCATCCGAGAATAACTCACGATACTGAGAAAACTAAGATAGAAATCACATAATCACGATTTATTGGCAAAACCCATTTTTGGAAAAAAACCGAAAAAACGGTAAATTCAAATAATTACTCAAAACAAACCTTCATCATCAGATGATAGAGGAGAAGTGGCGTTTTTAGGAATTCACAAAACGCAAAACGTAACATCTGTGATGACAAGACACATATGACAGTGACAATGTCAACTTTCCGTGGCCGAGTTTGTCTATGCGCTGAAATTCGCTAGATAGCCGTTCACGATGCAGAGGTACTGTCGGTTCGAATCCGGCTATCGGCTGAGCATTTTTCTTTAAAATTTGTGATTCATGGTTCTAATCCTGGCAGCACCTTGATGCCCTCTAGAAGTGGTTCGGATTCCACTATAAGCTGTAGGTCCCGCTCTTCCTAACCCCGCACAAGTTTCGACTTCTGGGGAGTTGATTCCCAACTTTGAAGTAGCGATATACAAAAAACAAAAACAAATAAAGAATAGTGGACGAGTAAACAGTTGACATTGTCACTGTCATATGTGCTTTGTCATCACAGAATTTACGTTTTGCGTTATGTGGATTGCTAAAAACGCCACTTATCCTCTTTCATCTGATGATGAAAGTTTGTTTTGAGTAATTATTTGACTTCGCCGTTTTTTCGTTTTTTTCAAAAAATGGGTTTTGCCATTGAATCGTGATTATGTACGTCCTCATAGGGGCACAGGGCTCCTTTACAATTAACCTGACCTTTAACCGGTGCTTATTTGCACAATAATTTTATTCAATGTTTTTTCATAATGTGTGTTTTTTCATTCCCACGTGAGTAAATTCTCTATTTCATACATTTTTCATGATTAACTTGTATCATATTATGGGACCTTTGGTTTCTAAGGATTAAGGCTGATGATAGACACATGACTGTCGGAAACATGTTCTCCTAAATAATCTTTCGATTATTAAACGTTTTGGAGATGATTTTGTGTTCTCTAACCCTCTCGTGACAATATATACTCACATCTTTGATAGCCCGAACATTCAATCGGGACCTCAGCGCTATCGCCACCTCCTTATCCTTCTCCAACACCCCCACCACACATCTCACGTACACGCAATTGGTCGAGTTGCACTTGATCAGCGCCTCCATCTCCTTATAAGGATCTCCCATCACCGCCCTCCTAACCCTCCTGTCCTCCTCCAAGCTATTGTGGAAGAAGGTGGCAGGGATTTGCCCGCTCTGTGTGTAACCCCCCTCGCTCTTCCATTCCCTCCGGTAGCCTGACTGACCCGAGTTGGACCCACTTGACGAGCCCCTGGAGGCCGATAGGTCGTCCGTGCGGTATCCTGCCAAAAATGTCACATAGATACTTATAAAAAAATATATATGAGAATTGGGTTGGATAGTGGAACTGTAATTCCTCATATAATCATTGTCGCATTTTATGAGCTTGAAATGTATTCTGCAGTTAAATTTATAATCAGTTCCAGATGGAAAGTCTCAATGAACTCGATAGGTATGAACTGTAATTTGGAAATTCGTTCATAATCAGTGTTTAATGGCAATTCCTCATTGACAATTTCTGGAATTCATGATTTCGAAATGTGTTCTGCAGGTACATTCACGATGAGTTCCTATTGGCACTTCCAAACGGATTCTATGATTATGAACTTTGTTCAACAGATACATTTATAACCTATTTCTGATGGCAATTCCTCATCAATTTCTAACGAACTCTATGAGTATACACACTCTGTTTTACACATACATCCATAAGTTCCAAATTGAAATTCCTTATTGAAATACTGTGGCATTTATAAGTTTGGAATGTGTTTTGCAGGTACAATCATGATGAGTTTCTATCGACACTTAGTAATGTATATGAGTATAAAATTTGCTTCATAGATACATTTATGATCAGTCACTAATAGTATGTGTGTGTTTAAAATGTGTTTTACAGATTGGTACATTTTTATTCAGTTCCTGATAGCAATTCTTCACAACCTTATGAAAATAAAATGTGTCAGCAGATACAGTCGTGAATCAGTTTCTAATTGAAATTCCTTGTTGAATCATTGTAGCACATATGAGTTTGAAATGTGTTTTCATGAGTTCCTATTGGCAGTTCTTCACGAACTATATGAGTTTAAACTGTGTTTAACAAATCTGTGATAATTCACCAAATCAAATGGGTATCAAATGTTTCAATAAAATACGAGACATAATATAGATGTGAGCTCAAAAGATATTTCATTCAAATATAAATTGAAGAACTTTATTCTTGAAAATGCATTTTATAGTGTAGAGGAGTTTTATAATTGTTGATGTTGAAATATTGTCGAAGTTTCTAATGTGTATGCATGAGTGTTTTATATTTTGTCTTTGTGACTTTACCTAGGTACACTATTTTAGCATTGTATTCGTAAACTAGTCTGATAAGTTGTGCACATTGTGTATGAGCTATATACTTTGTATAATCTTTGATTGACGAATAAATTTATCTTATGTCATCATTCATATTCAGTGACTTATTGCTATTTTTTATTGAAACACCGTGGCATCTATGAGTTATTTTCGACAATGCAGTGTTGCTGCTTCTACTAGAAAGTAGTAGCAACAATGATATTTCAAATAGAACACCCTGTATTACATCGCAGTTTTAGATTCTCCTCGGAGTGCTGATTTAACCGATATATCAAACACACTTGGAGTCTTTTTTCGAAAAACATTATAGAGATATATAGGGTGTTTGAAATCAAGAATTTTCAACTTTAGGATATTTTATGTCGAAACTATTCATTATCGGCCGAAACGGCTCACATGTCCCTAGTCTCAACTCTTGATTCACAATTTACTGATATTTGTATCTGTTCCGATTGAATATCAGCAAATAGTAAATCGAAAGTTGAGATAGGTACAAGTAAGCCGTTTTGGCCGATAATGAATAATTCCGACACAAACAAATCCTAAAGTTGAAAAATCTCGATTTTGAACACCCTATATATCTCTGTAATATTTTTCGATAGACCGCAAGTGTCATGTATCGATGAAATCAGATCTCCAGGGAAAATCTTAAAATGCAATAATATACAGGGTTTTTGCTTCTTTTTGATAGAAGCGGCAACACTGCATTGCTAAAATATATGTAAAATAAAGAGAGCGTATTCTGAAATATAAGCATGCATATTTTAATGGATTTTTCCCGCAATAATTCTCGATAGCGTTTGCAAATACATCTATAATCAGCTCCTATTATTACCTATTATTCGCGATTCTAAACAAGTTTGAAATGTATTTGCAATCTGTTCCTAATGGCAGTTTTCTGCACAAATACGTTCATCATCGGGTATTGATGGCAATTCTTCACAAAAAATACTGTAACATATAGCCTGACTGACCTGAGCTGGATCCACTCGACGCGCCCCTGGAGGCGGATAGGTCATCCGTGCGGTAGCCTGACTGGCCCGAGCTGGATCCACTTGATGAGCCCCTGGAGGCGGTTAGGTCGTTGCGGTTGTTGTTGAGATCCAGGGTCTGGACGGTGAAGCCTGAGCCGAGGTCTCCGATGTTCAAGTCGATTTCTCCAGCTCCAGCTCTTGGTAAGTCTATGGGTATTGTTGTGGTTCTTTCGAGGGTGTAGGTCCTGTTGTAAACCACCTGGCCTGGAATGAAGACTGACGTAATGCAAGACATCCAACCGAGTGAGCAGAAACATCCTTGAGATGTCACATTCATGTCTCGCTAGGTAACAATGCGAATTACAATAAAATATCATTGATGTTACCAGGGGACTCTTGATTTCACAGAACATTCGCAATATTCAACTAAGAAGAAGCCAAATAAGTACTGAAATTAGAATTAAATGGTAGCAGATATAGATAAATTCAAAGTCATTACCACAATAGTTCATAAGATATATAAAAGTAGTAGATAACGAGAGGAAAACAACTACTTCCCTGGCAATATACCACGCACAACAATGAATTACATCATCCCGAGATCTATGCAACGATTCAATACAGCTACGAATACAGCTTCAAGTGATTCTTGTCCCTAAATTGATCAGGAACGCTAGACTGGTTTCGAATTTTAATCTCTCATCGGTGCAGGGGTGTCTCCAGATGGCATTCATGGCCGTCATCTGGTGTGAACCTGACCCAACGTAAACACATCCCAGCGTTTGATATCCAGGAGGCGTTCGGCATCTGCGAGATGAACACGAACGCCACCTGAGTAGAAGGAAAGAAACACTCCAAAATACGTATGTAGGTATACTCAAGCCTTCCTGAACAATTCAAGCACAACTCAGAATTTAAGAATCAATCAGTTGCAGCTGTATTTGTCTTTACAAATCGTTGCATAGATTTCGGGAGGATGTAATGGGGGAGACCACTGATTTTCCAAAATGACATCATCGTGAACTCTATACTGAAAAACTACCAGCGAATTGATTTTGATTTTTGTCAGTCATGCTAAGACGATGAAAATAATAAATTAGAATATGACCATTTCAAAACACATAATTCCAGCGCCATTTGAAATTTTGTCAATTCATTGGTGTGACTGGTGCGACGTCTTATTCCCAACACGCCTATCGTCCTTGAACTGACCAATCACACTGCAACACTGCAGAATGACAAGGTATCAGAGAGAGATAGCTACAGTTCGGGACTAATACGTAACGACTCCACCATCATATTTGGCTGTTTGAAATATCGAATGAAATATGCTGATTTCAAAACGATATAGATTCGATTCCCTTCAACTTTAACTCATAATATTGATTATACATCAAACATAAATCATGATTCGTCGATTGAAAGAGGTTTGCACGGATTTCTTCGCTCAGTGGTCTTCCCCATTCAATGTGCTGCGTGGCATTGTCTTATGTTATGATTGTGAAACATGTCACTCTGTCTGTGATTACTCACTGTTCTGGGATTGTGTCAAGAGAATTGAGTTGTCATGAGTAGAAATAAACAATCTCCAGTCATCGTGAGTTTTATTGAATATTCAAGTCAAATACATAGCACTAGGAAAGTAGTTTTTTCTTGTTATCTACCAGTTTCGTTCATTTTATGAACTATTGTGGTAATGACTTTGAGTTTCTCCCTATTTATTCGCAATATTCTTCTCATTTTCAATTTGTCAGGCTTCGCACCTCAACAACCAAGATAATCACTGGACCCACAAATTCTTGTCTGGTAATGTAACAAACCGAATCAATTTCGATTTTGAATGAGAAGTCTATGTGAATCATAAAATGACTAAGAAGGTCTGGAACAGCAGTCATAATGATTTCAGTGGGATTATCAATTCGAGTCACGGATGTGATGTGTGGCATGAATGTGATGCCCTTTAATATTTTTGGGTTCAATCTATGTTTACTGAAAAACATGGGCGTAGCCAGGATTTCATTTAAAAGGGGGGCAGTTGGGCATTGTTTGAGTAGAAGAAACAAATTCTGTTCATATATCAAACGTATATTCTGAATAGAATGGAATAAATCTTCGTTAAGGAAAAAATGATAGTGCGACATTATTTTTAAACGAGTCTGATGAAAGACATTTGAGTAATAAATGAGGAAAGTATTGTAGCGAAACCTTCTCCTCCTGGTATCGATGTTGTGGATAAATGCGCAGGATGTCTCTGCCTGGCCGTGCCGCACTCGAAATGTTTTTATTTCGAAATCCGCAAAAAACACTAAACCCAGAAGTATAGTATAGAATATGCCAGAGGCTCATTTTTCGTATGTCTTAGTTAGCGTCAACTGAATAAATATTTTTGGTGCATTTTACTATTGTGTTGCAGTGTAGTGCATTCAACTTTAGTTATACCTGTATTTTCAGGTAAGGTTTCATTTTGGTATCATTCCAGGGTATATATGTTGTCATAATGATGATTATATTGTTTGGTTAGAGTTTTGTTATAATATCACGTTTATTGTCATGGCCGGCTCTTGTAGTGATACTCGCGTATTTTCAGTGACGTCCAATTAAAGATTTTGCTGAGAAAAAGATAGTTGTTTTTTTATCGAAAAAACTATTGAAAGAACCACCCTGTATTTTCGAAGAGACCGTACCTTGTCGGTTTCGTAACATCTGGCACCCAACCAGTGGCAATAGTTTTTCAAAGAATAAAAAACAACTTTTTCGGAATGGCTCCACCCACGAGCCGAACACCGGCAGGACACACAATGCCACCAAGTTCTCCCCCTTTGACAAGGATGATGAATAAGAAACTGCGTGAACTCTCTATGAACACGGGGGCGAACCAGGGGAACCAACCCCTAAATAGTTCAACACCTTCGATGCCTCCGAGAGACACCCACTCAGACAACTGGAGAAACACGGGAGCCATCCCAAAGACAACGGGTCAGCCGTTATCTCAGGCAGCGTGGGGGGTTCCACCACCCCCTGACCCACCAAGCAATCCACCTACCCCTATGCCGTCACAGGCAACTGAAACACCTCTGTCTGCGGGCCAAGGTAGGAACTTTCCATTTTATTATCGCCATCAGAATAAAGCTGCTGCAAATATGAATATTCCGCCGCCTACAATGCCACCCCCCGAAGATCTTCAACGAATGATCAATAATGCGGTTCAGTCAAATGTTCGCGAAGTTTTTGATCATTTTCGTAGACAAGAACAACAAAATAATGTTAATAATTTTCCTAATGTTAGGCCACCTATTATTCCTAATGATATTTTGAACAATAATTTTGTAGGTAATTTTACTAACATACCAAATTTTGATGATGAGGGAAGCATTCACCCAGTTGATTTTTGTAATCAAATTGACATATTCCTAAATACCACCAATATTCCATTCCAAAACATAAAGTTCATGTTGGCAGAAAAATTCATTGGGAAAGCTAAATCTTGGGGTAGTGCTTTTGTCACAACTTTCGTGAATTTTGATATATTTATGAATAATTTTTTGGAATACTTTTGGGATGAAACCAAACAACTGAACCTGAAATTGAAAATAGAATCTGCTACGTACGAAAGGGGCTCGTTTGTTGAACATTTTGTTAAATATGTAGGGATGGCACGGCATATACAACCTCCATTTCCAGATTTTATTTTAATCAGGCTGATATCTAGACATTATCCTGCACATGTATCTACAATTTTGATTGGTGTAAATACCATCCCTGAAGCTATTAATCGTTTGAAGCAAGCGGATTACGTTAGTAGAAATAATTTTCAACCAACAGGTAGCGATAAAAACCCTAACACCACGAATAATAATTATAACTATAAACCCCCCTTTGCTAAATCAGAAAGAGATAGACAATTCAACCAAAAGCCAAATTATTCTAATAGAAGGAATGTGGCAACCCTGGATATTCCTGATGATGATTCGTGCGAACATCAGAATCAGGGAAACGAACAGTAACACCCCCACTAGGTCCAGTGGTGAGTGTTATAGGTAATAGGGCCAATATAATTAATAATAATCCCGTTGAGGAGCTACTGAACGATAGTGACTGTGATTTCGAGCATCAAGTGACCAGGAAACGTTCCCCAATCATTTCTGTTAGTATTTTCAACCAAAATTTTCCTGCCCTACTTGACACGGGGTCCGAAATAACTTGTTTATCGGGTGACGTATATGCACAACTCGCGAATTTTCATGATGACATTCCTTGTTTTCCGGTTACGGGGGTTCGAATTACGGGGGCGTTCCAAACGAAAGAACGTAGAATTACTCATCAAATATCGCTAGTTTTTTCGGTGATGAGTACTATTTTCGAGCATGAATTTCTCCTCATTTCGGATTTGATTTTCCCAGTGATAATTGGCGCAGATTTTTTGCGTTCAGTTGATGCGGAAATTCTCTTGAGTAAAAACCAAATAATTTTCTATAAAAATAATAGAAAATTAGTGATTAGTGAAACTGAAACAAAACATGAATTGAAGTCACCTGCTGAAATGTCAGTTTTTCGTTTGACATCTGTTAAACAAAACTCCTGTTCCTTAAAAAATGATAATTGGCACGGCACTGGTGAGACGACGCTCCAGTTAGATTTTGTTGATGATATTTGTTCATTGACCTGCGAGCAAAAAACAATACTGAAAGATCTTCTTTTTTCGCATAAGAACCTTTTCTCAGACGTCCCTGGCAGAACTCATTTATATACGCACGAGATAAACCTAACAGATGACACTCCATTTAGAATGAGACAGTACCCTATTCCCTTCGCACACCGCGATGCAATTTTCCAAGAAATAAAAAAAATGGAAGAGTGGGGTGTTATTGAGAGGGCCTCCACACCGTATATAAGTCCTTTAGTGACATCGGTTAAACGAGATGGTTCTGTGAGAGTATGCCTAGACGCTAGGCGTCTAAACTCTTGCATGCATTCCGACCATGAGCTACCACGGCCTATAGACGAGATATTAAAATCTCTCTCGGGCGCACGATTCAAGACCTGTCTGGATTTGAGTTCTAGTTACTTTCAAATTCCTTTACGAGAGTCAGATAAAAAGTACACGGGTTTTTTGGTCGGTACAAAGACCTACCAGTTTACGTCATTACCTTTTGGCCTACGTACAGCCGTATCTTCTTTTACACGCTGTATGTCACAGATTTTAGGCTCTGAATTTGATACTCTCGTTATTGCATATATCGACGACCTTTTTATATTCTCAGAGAGTTTCGATGACCATATGAAACATTTAAATAAAGTCTTGTCTCGCCTGTCTGAAGCTGGTTTTACTTTGAAATTCAAAAAGTGCAAATTTTTACCTGAAACCTTAACGTACCTTGGATTTGTTTTGACCAGTGAGGGCATAAAGCCGGACCCTTCTAGGGTGGATTCGATAACGCATTTCCCTACCCCAAAAAATGTCAAAGCTTTGCAATCCTTTTTAGGCTTATGCAATTATGATAGGGCTTTCTGTGAAAATTTCTCCGCAACTTCCGAGTCACTCACTCGTTTACTTCGGAAAAAGGTGAAATGGACCTGGGGGGACGAACAGCAGATGGCCTTCGAAAGTTTGAAGGGCATTCTTGAGAAGGAGGTATTTCTGTATCACCCACAACACGGCCTTGAATTTTTCGTGCAAACGGACGCCAGTGAGTTCGGTTTAGGGGCTCAGTTATTTCAGCGCGTGGACGGTGAACGTCATGTGGTAGCCTATGCGAGTCGTTTACTACTGGATAGGGAACGAGCCTATAACTCATTCGAGAAGGAAGTACTAGCTGTTGTTTTTGCATTACAGAAGTGGCGTACGTACTTATTAGGAAAGCATTTCCACATTATAACGGACGCCCGTGCTCTCATTTATATTCAAGTTTGCAGGCTTTTGTCACCCCGTATCACCCGTTGGGCGTTGGCCCTACAAGAATATAATTTCTCAATTCAATTCGTTAGTGGCAAAAAGAACGTAATTGCTGATGTTCTTTCTCGTTTTCCATACGCGAGATTAGCCACTCCCTCAGATCGATGTTTCAAGCTTTTGAATTTTCAGATAAAACTACCCCCTTCAATCAGCAAGTCACTCAAGAATTTATCAGATACTCAGAGAAGCGATACTAAACTGTCACAGGTTATGCGTTCGTTGGAAACTAATGCTGATTGTGAACTGCATCGTAAATATATAATAAATAATGGCATACTTTTTATCAGAACTACGGAGGAGGACCCTTATGTTATTTGCTTACCTTCGGACTTAGTGGGAGACGTTATCAAGGCTTACCATGAGATTCTAGGTCATTTTGGTGTGTACAAGTCTTGGATGGCTTTGAAACAAGACTTTTATTGGCCTAATATGTTTCGAGATGTGAAAAGGATCATCAGGCATTGAGACATATGTCAGAGGGCAAAAGTATCTCAACTACCCAAGCCTCCCCTCCTATCGATACTGCCCACACGGATTAACGAAATAGTTTCGTTGGACCTTTACGGCCCATTGGTACGTTCTAGGGGTGGTACTACGTTCCTGTGTGTGCTCATAGATATTTTCTCAAAATATATAACATTATATCCCCTCAAAAAGGCCACGACTAAGACGATCCTCAACCGCTTATGTTTGGATTATTTTCCTCGGTTTGGTAGGCCCGCGCGAATTCTTACGGATCACGGTAGCCAATTTACCGCCAAGTCGTGGTCTAGCACTTTAACATCACTTGGGGTGATACCAGTTTTCAGCTCGATTCGACATCCTCAGTCAAACCCCGTCGAGAGATACATGCGTGAATTATCTCGACTATTCCGCACCTTTTGTCATAAGAAGCATACTAGGTGGGCTTACGAGGTTCGGAATTTCGGGGATTTGTTGAACTCGGTCACACACGAAAGTACAGGTTTTTCTCCACGGGAGCTGCATCTTGGTGAGAGCCCCGTATCTATCACGCGTTCGCTTATTATGTATCCCGATGATAATAAGGAGGCAGTTAGTCATGAAACCAAACTTTTATTGGCCAGAGAGTCTATGGAAGGGCGCGTAGCGCGTAGGTCTATCACGTCCCGTCGATATACTGGGTATAGTTTCCAGCCTGGCGACTTGGTGCTCCTAAGGTCCAACCCAGTGTCATGTTCTCTGACATCTGAGGTGAAAAAATTTTTGCTTCTCTTCGAGGGTCCTTACTGCGTGAAAAAAAAGATTTCCCCTTCCACTTACGTATTGTGTCACCCAAACTCTAATAAGGAACGCGGCTGTTTCCACTTAAGTCACCTGAAGCCGTATTTCCCTCCGAAAGAATAACTAATCCTCTCTTTAATGTCTAATTCTCAGGATTAGTTCGGGGGCGGTTGTAGCGAAACCTTCTCCTCCTGGTATCGATGTTGTGGATAAATGCGCAGGATGTCTCTGCCTGGCCGTGCCGCACTCGAAATGTTTTTATTTCGAAATCCGCAAAAAACAGTAAACCCAGAAGTATAGTATAGAATATGCCAGAGGCTCATTTTTCGTATGTCTTAGTTAGCGTCAACTGAATAAATATTTTTGGTGCATTTTACTATTGTGTTGCAGTGTAGTGCATTCAACTTTAGTTATACCTGTATTTTCAGGTAAGGTTTCATTTTGGTATCATTCCAGGGTATATATGTTGTCATAATGATGATTATATTGTTTGGTTAGAGTTTTGTTATAATATCACGTTTATTGTCATGGCCGGCTCTTGTAGTGATACTCGCGTATTTTCAGTGACGTCCAATTAAAGATTTTGCTGAGAAAAGGATAGTTGGTTTTTTTTACCGAAAAACTATTGAAAGAACCACCCTGTATTTTCGAAGAGACCGTACCTTGTCGGTTTCGTAACAGTATTTACATGGAAATATTGATATCTTTTTTATGTAAAAAACAAAGCTAGTAGACATGTTTATATGAAGTTTATTTCCTAAGAAACCACAGGGAATCAACTCCTCATGTTAGTCGCATTTATTTACTAAAATATTTCGATGAAAATCAGAAATATTCTTGCAGTTGTCTTACGAATAGAGGATTGATACGAATCTCATATGGTTGCATTGGATTGATCATGGTAGATTCAGTTTCTTATTTTATGAAATATCGTGAATTTAAATGAAATGTAGAGAGCTCTGAGGAAAAAAAGGGTTGTGACAGTGAACTATGGTTAGATTAATACTTCGAAATAATGACTTAAAAAACCTAAAACGAGCTCCTTATTTAATCTTATTAGCTCAACCAGAACACGACTATATTCCGATAAACTAATATTGTATACATTCAAATAGGTACGTGAAGATATAGTGAAATAATTGGTAGATAAATTTTTGAATTACGATCGATTTAATTTTTTCTTTTTATGATCATACCTGAGGAACCTCTTGGCAAATTATGAGGGTTTCCCTGTTCATCGAAGTAGCCTGTGAGGACCCTTTCTCCACTTGTTTGACCTTGACCAGTATGTCCACCTGAAAAAATATATGTAGGTACCTATAATAATTTTCATATTTTGAAATACTTTAAGCATTAATAAAATTATGAAGCATGAGGTCAATATCTGCTGCGGAACGAAAATACCACATTTAATGGGGTTGCACACACTAGTCGAATTTATGCAATTTTATATTTTTCATTCCATGTTTAGGAAGTATTTGGTGCAATCATTCGTTATTCAAAATCATCACAAATATTTATTCAATAATTAAAATCGGCTCCTTCGAAAAACGCCAGGTCTCGATGACGTCAAGAACCATTCGATAATCAAGGTTATCTGAATATCTCATCTTAATTCTTGCTCTCGTATCTTAAAACCATATATTTCGAAACTGCCAAATTAATAACTAGTAATTATACGTTATGAGATTCAATACGACCAATGAGAAAAGTATTCACCTGGTCACTACTAATCACTTATTGAATACTTATACATATATCTTGCTTTAGTGCCAATAGGAATATCCTAGTATTCCTAAGAATGATCGAGATTTTATTTGAACCCAAACTATTTCGTTACGCTGGCAACAGCGTAATGCCTTGAGTTCATAGAAATATCAAGAAAAGGAAATAATTCTAGCCTTAATCTTTGATATTGTCATTCTCTGTCACCTTCCTCTTCAAAACCTATCATCTACTCGAATCTAACAAATACTGCGATTATTCGAAGATATTCCTCAGATCATCTGATTCTTCAGTTGTGTGTTGTATTCTCTGTTATCTGCAGTGAGTACTCAGTCCAGGAAATTCATTTATTATCTTGATTGAAATGACAATCAGAAATATTCTTGCACTTGTCTTACAGAAATAGAGAATGGATTCGTAAGTCGAATCTTTCATGGTTGCATTGAATTGTTAACGGCTGATTACGTCACGCCTTTTCACGCGTTAGTACTTCGAAATAACGAAATAAAATCTTTCACTCAGACAGGCTCATTGTATATTCGACTGGTTATAGTATAATGCTAAATTAGAAACATTTTGAGGTCCTTGATTCAATCAATTACCTTCTCTCGATCCGCCTCCGACCTGATAGGCTGTGCTTTTGTGCAATATTGGCTCACCTTGAACTGTTTCTTGCTGCCTCCTCCTGCTTTCCTCATAATACCTCCTCCTCTCTTCCTCGGCACGCCACCTTTCCTCTTCACTTCCGTAGCTTTGGCCACCTTGTTGGTACCTCCGTCTCTCCTCTTCAGTACCACCACCTACTTGTTGGTAGTACCTTCTCCGTTCTTCTTCTTTTCTGCGCTCTTCCTCCACCCTCCAAGATTCTTCTTGTCGCCGTCTTTGTTCCTCTAATCGCCTCAGTTCTTCTGCACGCCTCTTTTCTTCTTGCGCTCTTATCCTATCTTCTTCTGGTTGCTTACCACCAGTTCTTCTTTGTTCCTCAACTCTTCTTCGTTGTTCGTCTAGTATCCTTATCCTTTCTTCTTCGACTCTTCGTTGTTCGTTTAGTATCCTTATCCTCTCTTCTTCTTGCCTACGTTCTTCTGTACGCCTTTTTTCTTCCTGCGCTCTTATCCTATCTTCTTCGAGTCGCTTATTACTCGATCTGCTTTGTTCCTCAACTCTTCGTTGTTCTTCTAAGATCCTTATCCTTTCTTCTTCGGCTTTTCGTTGTTCCTGCCTACGCAACTCTTCAGCTCTTCGATATTCATCCAACCTCTTCCGTTCTTGTCTATCTTGCTCCTCCATTTTTCTCCGTTCCTCTAATATCCTCAACTGTTCCTGCGCTCTAAGTTCCTCTTGAGTTCTTTCTGTGACGTCGAAGTGAGGTTTGGTGGTGACCCTGGACAGGTTTTCTTCCTCGTAATTGAAGCTTCCGGAGCCTCTTCCATAGGTGCCTCCAGATGTAGGGATCGGAATGATTTCGCCGGTTTCATCGTTCCAGTAATAGCTCCTCAAGATGTTACCGTTAGCGTCTGTGACAATAGTTTTATTCTCCCAAGTGGTCACTTGTTTGCCATCTACCCACCTAGTGTAGTACTTTGATTCTTTGTGCTCGTATTCTCCTGCAGCTAAAGTAAGTCCTGTTTTACTCCCAACGTTAGAAACTTGTTCGTTGGTGTTGTCGTTGTAGTAGAAAGTCCTCAGTATATTTCCTTTGGAATCTCTGATCGTTGTTTTGTTTTCCCAACGAGTGACAGGTATTCCGTTGACCATCGCCGTGAAATATTTGGCCTCTTTGTATTCGTATTCGCCATCTGGGTTGAGGGTGCCCCAAGTTTGCAAGTTGGTTTCGTTGTGGCGTCGCTCGAACACCGATGAAGAGTCCCCTCCTGAGGATATCTCCTTATCTATGTTCGTTTTCTCGTTTACCACTCCTACTCCGCTCGAAATACCACCTCCTGTTTCTGTGGTTTTTCCCTGGTTTTTCAATTCGGATGCTGTGACTCCTATGCTGGAAGTATCAATCTTCAACCTTTCCCAAATTGAGGCTCGGTGGTAGTCCAGCTCGAAATGTCTGTAGTTGGAGGGTGCTGCATCGCATTTGACGTTTCCCAGGGTGTGCGGTTGGTCCAAGAGGTAGAGGAGGTCTTCTTCTCCGAGAGTTTTCAGAGGCCAGAGGAGGAAGACTTCTGCTTCTTGGATGGTGGCTGGTCCTCTGTTGCCTATGTAATAGACGTGGGTTATTTGGGGACCGATGTCACTTTCTTTCTTGATTTCCCGAGTGGAAGCGGCGTATAGTGATTCGTTGAAATATACCGTTGGAGGGTAGGATTCTCTGTGAAATAATAGTAGATTGTTTTATCAGGATCAAAAATGACACTTTGTTTGACAAGCGAATTTTGCATTTGCGAGGCGGACCGTTTAGCGAAGCCGAGCGAAAGCAAAATTTGCGAGTCAAACAAAGTCACTTTTGATCCGAATGAAACATGCTATTTTTTCTGCAACGGAAACAGTTTTCTTGAATAAATATGTGAAGTAACCACCAATGCCGTGTCATATTCTACCTGATGCATTAACAGCAGGTTTATTCAATTTTCAAGGATGTTCGAATTGTAGTTTCAATACAGATACAACCACAGAGTGACATATTTGTATATGAACCAGATGCTCTAATAGCGAATACCGCGCCACTGCCAGGTATAGGAACAAGACATGAAAAATGTTAGGTTAGTGAGCATATCAACAGTAATAATGGCGATTATTTATTTCTTTCCATACTCCACTGTGTTTGGCTTGATATTCAAATGTAGGTAAACAATATCGTTGTTTGAGACAAAAAACTATTGCTGGCCGTGGTTATTCAAAAACAAGTTATCCATCCCGAGAATAACGAATGGAATACATATCAAGTAAGTATGTGAATCTTGAAGGCTTTCCTGATCAAAACAAAAATACTCAACTATACCCTTGATTATATGCACTAGTGTGAATACTCAAAGACAGTACTGAGGTGTATTTATATCTTCAACATGGGTATGTAATGCCAAATCTGTCAAAATCGGAAACAAATCAGGTATGCTTCCCAACCCAAATAACCAACCATAACAATGTTGTTTATTCTTTTTTAGTTCCTAGGAGCTTAAGTTCAACTTTGGCTCCTAGGAGCTGAAGTACAACTTCAGCTCCTAGGAACTAAATGTGTTGCCTAACAACATACCTATTTTTGTGTCAGTAATAGAAACGTCAATTCAAAAGCTGATTTTGGTATCAAAATGGACGACTTCTGTGTCGGTTGCAGAAAAACAATATTGGATATGGTTCTGTTATCGAACAGCAGCGCTCGACAAAATGGCGAGCGACAAAATAGCGTGGGATAAAATAGCGCTTGGACATTTCACCGAGGGTCAAAATCGCCCGATATTAAGCAGCACCTGGTCTTTGGGAAATGCGATGAAATAGCGCCTGAAACGTTAAAACGAATTTTCACGTACGATGATTATCTCTCGGTCGAAAAAGTGGTGATATTTTGATCCATGGAAGACACGGGTACAGAAAAAATAAGGTTTAGTTATGTACAACATGTCACGGTTGGATGGCGCTTTTATTGCAAGAGTAACTAATGGTGCTATCACTGCCCATGTCCGACATTTACATCAAAACTCTTCAATACCACCATCCTTCGCATGCCAAGCTATTCGATAATTAGAGGGAATCAAAACCATTTTAGAATATTTATTACGAATCCCAAATGTTTCGATAATATATCTCCACCTGACGAACTTGTTTTTCTTCACTTTGATCCCATTAGTTAGTACTTCTGTTTCGAATGGAATGGGTCAGTATTTGATTTCTTATAACTTGGAGGTGAAAGGTATGAATTTAAAACCTAGAGGTTTAGTGAATTATCGGAACTATTGCTACATTTATTCAATTCTACAAGCACTATATGCTTGTCCTCCATTTTTGAATTCATTAGTTGGTCTAGCACAGGAAGTTTCATCGTGTAAAAATAGGTATCCTACTCCGATTATTGAAGGCATGTGTCGCTTCGGTCAGGAATTCAACCATCTGTCGCTAGTGAAAAAGAAGAGTGGCAGAAACTTTTACAATAAGACGGCAAGAAAATAAGATTTGGTCCCATTCGAGCCTATCTGATGGATTTACAAGATGTTGGCTAATTCTCGGTCGGACCTAATTGAGGGCCGACAGGAAGACGCAGAAGAGTTCCTCGGATTCCTACTGAACGGCCTCAACGACGAGATGTTCGAATTGATGAAATCAGTTTTGGATTCGGAGAATACTTGCAGTGTTTCAAAAAGTACAGTCTTCGAAAAGACACCAATACGCGCTATTTTTGGCGGCCAGTTGAGATCGAAAATCATGCGAGCTGGAGATGTTTCCACGGAGAATATTCAACCGTTCCTGACTCTGCAGATGAATGTCGACAAAGTGAAGACGATCAAAGAAGCTCTGGAGACTCTTGTGAATAAGAAGCAGCTGGAAGGATTGACTTCTCCTAACACAAATGAAGTGGTACAGGCGTGGCAGCAATTGATGTTGGATGTGCTGCCAGTCATTCTCATTCTGCATCTAAAATTCTTCGATTTCAAGCTAGACGGTTGTACGAAAATAATCAAGGCGTTTGAATTCCCTGTCGACCTAGAAATCGAATCGAGGTTGTTATCTTCCAAGTCACAAACGCCCGAAGAAAAAAATTATATGTTGTTTGCCGTGGTCTACCACGTTTTTTTTTCGTTCTGGTTCTCACGAAAAGGGATATGCTGTAATGTTCAGAGAACATCGTGAGAGCCAAGGGAAAAAAGGTAGGAACTGGTGCTCTTATTGAATTTCTGGAGGTTATATGCCTCGGGGAATACCTCCCTTGGCAATGTGTTCCAGAGCCTCGCTGTTCGTTGGATGAACGAGTCTTTGGAAAGAGATGTTCTGCAGGTCTCTAAAGTGACCACGAAGAGGTGCGAAGCCTCAACTCGACGGGTTAATCTCGCGGGGACTGCCAAGGAAGGAACAATTGTTGATATTTCAGAAGAGCATCGTCCATGAAAATATCTATAAAATGAAGCCAGATTGCTAACTTTTCTTCGGTGTCCCATAGAACTGAGTGAGTTTGTGAGAGAGGCATCACCCACGAGACGAATTGTCCTTTTTTGGACAAAATCCAACAGTTTCAGGGTAAGTTTGGGTGCTGCACTCCAAATATGGGAACAGTATTCCAGGACAGGTCGTATCTATGGCTTAGAGATCATAAGCAGCTGACTGGAAGTGAAATAGCTCCTGGCCCGAAACAGATAACCAAGTTTTTGGGATGCACTCTTAGCAATTGATTTCACGTGATTTTTCCAAGAAAGGTTATTGCTGATAGTAATCCCAAGCATCGAAATGGATGTCTTCAAAGGTATGGTTTCTCCGGACAAGCTTATGTTGGGCACAGTGAGATCGGCTTTTCTAGAGAAAAGGCATGCTTGTGTTTTGTTTGCATTGGAATCTACCAAGTTATTGGATACCCATTCGAGAATTGTTGCCAAGTCCATATTTATGTTGTCAACATTTCTCCCTAGGAAATGGCTGGATTGTTGGTAAGGCAACTAGGGGTCACTATTTTTCCGATGCCTTCCAAATGGAACATATATAGCTGTTGGTTGCGCTTCAAGACGCCACCGTTATGACAGTCACCGAAGAACAAGGGTTGAAGTCGCAGGATACACAAGTGCCTTATTTACTCTTCCACAGGCGGAGGGATACTATCGAGTGAAATAATTGACTTCTAGGATGAGATTCATTATTTTTTCAAAAACCAAATTGTGATTAGATTTCTTAACAAATATCAGTCATTCTTAAAGAAAAAAAAATGAGAAAGAGACACATGTACTAGTTGCCCAATAACGTTGGGAACATCTCGTTAGGCACAAAGGACCCCGCACTGAACTATAGGGAAAATTGACATATTGATGTATTGAACAATAAATATTTCATTGTTATAACCTCAAAAAATGGACATATTGACCTCTGAATGCCATTTTGTCGAGAGAAAATCTCTGAAAATAGCTGAATTTTTGTTATGTTTCAGATAGGAATGAACTGATGGAAAAATCCAATTTATCTAACCTCCAGAAATTGACAGTTTATTCGATATTGACCTCCAGATGTAATTTTTTTTACAAAAAAATCTCTGATAATGGCTGGATTGCTGGTAAGTAGATACGTTGTATCTACAAATGTTTTTCGCTGTTTTGTCTAGCGCTGATTAATAATAGAGCCATTAGATATAAAGTGGACATTGCTGGGACATACCCTCGGAGTTCCAGGAATGCGTCTATCCAAATGTTGATGGAAATGTGATGATGGTTGTCGGCCATTGTTTCTTCTGGTTCAGGGTTAGTGCTGTTCACGAACACGTCGAATTCGTAGCTAGGCGGCATTCCCTCTTTGTAGTAAGGTTGCAGGAGTACTTTGAAGCTAGCCTGGAGAACAAACATTGGTGAAAAATTACCTTTGAATATGTAGAAGATAATGTGATGTCTCAAAATAATAGATCGCTCAGAAACAAATTGTAGTCATTCAATTCGAGTAGATGTCGTTTGGAGGCAGAACTATAAGATAGAAATTCATTATATTGACAATCTAATTCATGTATGGAAAATCCCACAATCCGCGTGATTTTGTTATTATGACAGCGAAAAAAGTTTTCCCTAACTTTTCTAGCGACAATAACGGAACCTAACTTTTGAAAGCATGACAACCAGCCATAAACAGATGTTTGCTGGATTAAATTGCTTTTTTTTGTCAAAGTAAACCTGCAATCTATAATTCGAATTCTGTTGCCATTAGGTAATTTAACTCAGAAAACTAACAGAAAGAAATCCTCGTCCTACGACCTTGTCTTTTTTTCAGACGCAGTTTTTTTCGTCGAATTGCCATGTAACAATAGAAGATTGTTTTATTAGGATCAAAAGTGACACTTTGTTTGACAAGCGAATTTTGCATTTGCGAGGTGGAGCGATTAGCGAAGCCGAGCGAAAGCAAAATTTGCAAGTCGAACAAAGTCACTTTTGATCCGAATGAAACATGCTATTTTTTCTGCAACCGAAACAATTAACTCAAATAAACATGTGAAGTAACCACCAATGCCGTGCCATATGTATGCAATGCAACACATATTGACAAATAATCCATGTGGTGAGAATATTCTACTTGCATTAACAGCAGGTTAGGTTTTCTAAGATGTTCGAATTGTAGTTTCAATATAAGCACAACCACAGAGTGACATATTTGTGTATGGACCAGGTGCTCTAATGGCAAATACCGCGCCAGCTATAGGAACAAGACAGGTTAGTGAGCATATAAACAATGATAATAGAGATTATTTATTCCTCTCCATACTACACTGTGTTTGACTTGATAATCAAATGAAGCTAAACAATATCGTTATTTGAGACAAAAAAACAATTGCTTGCCGTGATTATTCAGAAACAAGTTATCCATCCCGAGAATAACGAATGAAATACAGATCTTGCAAGTATTTGAATCTTGAAGGCTTCCCTGATCAAAACAAAAATACTTAACTGAGATTTTTATAATTTCAATACTAAACTATAATAAGGTGTATTTATATCTCCAGCATGGGTATGAAATGCCAAATCTGCTGAAATCGGAAACAAATCAGGTATGCGTCTCAACCCAAATAACCAACCGTCACAATGTTGTTTATTCTTGATGACGTCCAGTAGATCCTTTTTAGTTCCTAGGAACTAAAATTCAACTTTAGCTCCTAGGAACTAAATATGTTGCCTAGCAACATACCTATTTTTGTGTCAGTAATGGAAACGTCAATTTAAGAGCTAATTTTGGTATCAAAATGGACGACTTTTGTGTCGGTTGCAGAAAAAATTCTTATTGATACATGTCCAGTTTACTTCGTCAAAAAAAAACTCTCGTGTAATTATAAGTGGAAATAAATAGCAATAATTAGTGTGAGTTGCGATAAAAATATCTGAGTGGTCAATCATTGATGTATTTTATTCACTTTGATATATAGTTTATTAACCATCTACCATCTTCTCTGTTTATTTCTTGCATTCTTCCGATATTTACCCCCAATTTACCCACATTTTGCAATCTGTTGTCGACCATCCCTGTACAAGAGTTCTAAAGGTATGATATATGAGTACAAAAATTATAAAATGCTTCGAGATTTTATACTACCCCATCATTTGCGATTTCAGCGGAAACGACTTCAAATTTCAATTTTCAGATGAGTATTTTATTCCATAATCTGTTAGGGATTATTATAACGAATTCAACGATGCAGGGTTCGAAGGGTTATTTCCAAAGATTACGAAGATATTTGCGTTGGAAGTTTCCATTTCTCTCAATGTGTGTGACTTCGCAATATCGAAACTGTTTTCTCTGTCACACTCATTGAGCATATGGACATTTTGCATGCCAATATACTCGTAATCGTTTGAAATATTTCTATCAAACCCGTTATGGTTGAATTTGTTATGATAATTCCTAACCAATTATACAGTGTCTCTCATACGTTGGCATCATATATGGAAAACACTTTCAGTAATAATTTTTTGGCGTATCAGTTGTAGGAAGAACCGTACGCCTTTTTGAATAGTCTTTTTCTGAGGATATTTGATAGTTGTGGCAATGCCGAACACTATGATGGTTGAATCGTATATTGTAGAATGAATGAAAATTCGAAGTGCTGTTTATACGAATGCCAACTGTATTACCGATAAGATTGAGATTTGCGACTGTTCACTCTGAAGATTCAAGAATAACTGATTATAATAAATTGTTTATTGAGCTAGAAAGGTAGGTCTCTATAAGCTTCACCGAGAATAATAATTAGGGCTCGAATTAGGGTATTACCATCCTATAGCCAGATGGTCATAAAAGATCAATGTTGTGAATATACAATAAGTATAGTTGGCATTTCGTAGAGAGGTAGAAAAAACCCTTATCGGGAAAAACCCAACTCTTATTCGGATGATGAAATATGTACAGAGTATAAAATGTAATATGGTATACAGGAAAGTTAATTGAATATACAAATATATACACGAGTGGGAAAATTCCCCACAATTTACTTCGAAATCCAACTTGGGCGATGAGTTTTGCTTCAAAAACGGTAAAAAATGGTCTACGGGGTCACGTGACTTTCACTGCATGTCAAAATGTTACATTTTATCAAATATCAAAATAATTGCTGAAAGTAGGCAAATTTGTTTGAGTTTGAGAAAATTGTACTCACATGTATTGTATCTCGAATCTGAATGGCCTATTGAAACTTTTTGTACTTGATATCATTTTATTCCTTCTGAATGTAACTTCAACAAAACTGTCCTAAACTGCCCTAAAAATTTTACTAAAGAAAAGATGTTTCTATTCCATTTTTAAACAGGTGTCTCGGATTTGAGATTTCTATTGCAACTTCCAGTTTTTTTTAATTTCTACAAAATGTTATGTTTGAAAAAAATCAACACCGACAAAGCTGTACCATACCAGTAGCTTCATCATGCTACCAACCTTCAATTACTAATCATTGACAAAGTTTCTTGATGGACTTTTTCGACATTCAAATAAATAAGCCTATTTTCTGCGAGAAGTTTGAATAGTGATTTTCCTAACAAGTGCGGAAAGTGTTACTTTCCCACACGCGAATACTGTTGACCCAAACGACGCTAAGCGGAGTTCGGGTAAGCAGTCGAGTGCGGGAAAGACACTTTCCGCATGAGTTAGGAACAACATTTTTTTACAAGCATAGGAAATTGATTGATTTGTTCAATCAATTATTCCTACAAATAGGAACAACTAACAAAAGTGATATATCCTCTATCTTCTAATAATTAGTGATATATCTATTGTTTGTACCGTTTGAAGCATTATGTAGGTGAGCTTATATTGCGGAAGCCAGCATGCCCTTGGTGTTTGGCCTCTAGGTTTCAGACATTTCTAGGAAATGAGCCAATAATACTTCTTCTTTATTTGGTGTATTCACTTTTTTACTATTGCACCATTCAATAAATCTCGTGTAGTGCTTGTCATACTTTTTTAAGGACTTCGTTGGCAATAACTCATCTGTATCGCTTCTTTAGCTGGCAGTTTTTCATCGCAATTCCACTGAATCAAAAATGTCAGTAACGCTCTGTCTGTCACTCTGAGAATTATAAATTGATTTGTGTTTTGATTGACATGACAACAATTGTTTCCCACACCAGATCAATTCAAGGCTATAGGGGGATTTTTATAACAATCAATTATTATTTTTCAATATTTCTTCATTTCCACAATACATAGTGCAATTCGATGGATGATTTTGAACAAACTCACCTGATACTCCAGCAGCAAACAAGCCAAAACTTTTATATTCCATCACCAACCACTTATATTTCGCGATAATATCAACATCATTGTTTTTCCCGCAGTATGGTGGGTAATCTTTTCCCGCACTACTACGAGAAAATGACAGTTCCCGAACTGAATTGCGTACGGGTAATGGGTGAATCACGCACGATTGTAGAAAAAAAAAATACATTTGACATGTAGCGAAAGTTACATCACCCCGATTGAGTAGGTCGTTTCCATATTTTTTAAAGCAAAACTCAACACTCAATAAGTCGAATTCCAAAATAAATTATATATTATCAAAATTCTTCTCCATATGATGCAAACTTTATCTTACTGTAGAATATTTGAAAATCAAGAGTTGAGAATGTATATATATGAAATATTGCAAAATTTCCCAATTCACGAAGATGATTCATTTCCGTATCACTCACAATTCTTCCAGCAGGCAGTGGATTGCCTACGTCACACACTACAGTTCTATTTTCTCTTGAGCTGCAAAGGATTCCAGGAGAGTTGGGCATAGTGTCAATCTTCTTGTAGAATATGCCCTCAGGATATTTCAATTCGAAGGTTGTCTCGTAGGCATCCTCATTGAAGTTGGACACAATAACATCAAATTCCAAGTTCCTGTTGGAACCGAGTAAATATTTGTTCACATTCCTGAAAGAAATTGATCACTCAGCAAATATATAACAAGGAGGCTGTTTATTCTTACGCTGTGATATTGACGTGAAGATTTGGCACACAGATGTTGTCAGGTCCACAGTTTTTCTGGACGACTATGGAGTCTTTCCTGGAAGGAGGGTTATTCAAATCCAAAACGGGCTTCAGCAAAGACTGGGGGTTACGCGTAAAGCTGATGCTTCTATCCTCCGACATGAATAATTTCACCTCAGCCTCTAAAGGTGTAAGCTTGTCTCTAATTTCACTCTAAAAATAGTCGATCGATTGATGAATTAGTAATTCGAGTGATATTGAGCAGATCGAGTTGACTTACTTTAACGTAAACTTGTTCTGTTTTACAATTCTCCTTGTTGTCCTTATATAATAATAAAGTGTCATTGAATGTGTAGGTACCACGTGTTAGGAAACCCATTCTGGGCGTGCTAGGTTTCTTTGTATCCAAAATATATTGAACCGTAAGGTCTGGAAAGAATAATAGAAGATTGTTTTATTAGTATCAAAAGTGACACTATGTTTGACAAGCGGATTTTGCGAGTCAAACGAAGTCACTTTTGATCCGAATGAAACATGCTATTTTTTCTGCAACCGAAAGAATGAACTAAAATGAATATGTGGAGTAACCACCATTGTGACTAATTTGACAGATTATAATAATACCTTCATTATAATAATAGAGGTAAGTAGATAGAAGCAAGACCTCAGACTAATTTACTTTAGAATATTGGTGGACGATGACTTTACTTTGTGTTGACATGCATCATCAGAAACTACAGGCACGAATTCAATACTATACTCGAAACGTGGATGCCGTGCACAAGTCAAGTTTATTCAATTTTCATGGATGTTCGAATTGTAGTTTCAATATCAATACAAGCGCAACCCATTTGTGTATTCTATTGAATTGATGAATCGATATGAATTTATTTGGACCAGGTGTCTGCCCTAATAGCAAATACTGCGCCAGTGCCAGGTATAGGAAAAAAAAGTAGAAAATATTAGGTTAGTGAGCATATCAACAATAATAATAGCGATTATCTATTTCTCTTCATACTCCACTGAGTTTGGCTCGGTAATCAAATAAATATTAACAATCGTTGTGTGAGACAAAAAAGTATTGCTGGCTGTGATCATTTAAAAATAAGTCATCCAATCAATCAGATCACGAGAATAAATGAAATACAGATCGAGCAAGTATGTAATTCTTGAAGGCTTTCCTGATCAGAACAAGAATACTTAACTATAATATGGTGTATTTATATCTCCAGCATGAGTATGAAATGCCAAATCTGCCAAAATCGGGAACAAATGAGATATGCGTCCCAACCCAAATAATCAAACATAACAATGTTGTTTATAGTAGTACACCCTTTTTAGTTCCTAGGAGCTGAAGTTTAACTTTAGCTCCTAGGAACTAAAAATGTTGCCTAGCAACATACCTATGTTTGTGTCAGTGATAGGAACGTTAATTCAAGAGCTGATTTCGGTATTAGAATGGACGACTTTTGTGTCGGTTGCAGAAAAAATATGATTAAATGGAAGAGAATGATGATGTGGCTTCTTACATAGTTGATCCGGAATCCCTTTTCCTGTGTACTTGATACAGAAATCAATGGCGGTGCAAGTCCCATCTTGGCCGTTTGGCAGTTTGCAATTCTTTTCCTTGATGTCTATTTGCTTTTGGGGCGTTTGAAATCGTACGTAACCATCTATCAAAACCACTGGTCTTGCTCTATAGATAAAAAACAGGATGAATCGACAAAAAATTAATTCGGAGACATTATAGAACATAAGCTCACTTTGAAAAGATAATATTTGTTATCTAAGCTTAACGAAATAGATATCGGTAACCGGTACCGGCTCGACATATCATGGAGCATTGTCTGCTAAATAATAATATGGAGAAACAATCTAGTGAGCTGTATTTTTTCTCCATATTTAGCAGACAATGTCATGGAGTATCACCCCTACAATTTTTCATACAATGAAAACAGCCTTATATACAGGGTGGGCCACCAGTAACGCCTCGGTCTCTAGCAGGCTAACCACTTATCTTCTTGGAATTCTTCCTCTCTAGGAAGTTGCATGTCAACATAGGCTACCATTTGAAATTATTTCGAAACATACAGGGTGTCCCCAAAAACCATAAAACACTGAAGTTAAACTTTTTTCTATTGAACACCCTATATATTATTTCATTTTGAGATTCTCCCTGATGAGCTGATTTCAACGACCCATCATACTTGGGGTCTAGCAGTTATAATTACTGAAATATAGGGTGTGAAAAATCGAGATTTTCCAAGTTCAAGAATTTTTTGTGTCGAAACTATTCATAATTGGTCAAAACGGCTTACATGTCCCTATCTCAACTTTTGATTAACTATCTACTGATATTTAATTGGGACATATACCGGGTGATCAAGATTCTGAATTCTGCACCACCCTGTATTTGTTTCAATTAAATGTCAGTAGATAGTTGATCAAAAGTTGAGATAGGGACATGTGAGCCGTTTTGACCAATTATGAATAGTTTCGACACAAAAAATTCTTGAACTTGGAAAATCTCGATTTCTCACACCCTATATCTCAGTAATACTTATAACTGCTAGACCCCAAGTATGATGGATTGTTGAAATCAGCTCACCAGGGAGAATCTCAAAATGAAATAATATATAGGGTGTTCGATTGAAAAAAGTTCAACTTCAGTGTTTTGTGATTTTTGGGGACATCCTGTATGTTTCAAAATAATTTCAAATGGTAGCATATGTTGACATGCAACTTCCTAGAGAGGAAGAATTCCGAGAAGATGAGTGGTTATAGCTTTCTAGAGACCGAGGCGTTACTGGTGGCCCACCCTGTATAATACGGTATGAATTTTCCTACTCGGAACAATTGATATATTTCTTCAATGTCCCCCCCCCCTTCATATTTTTTGACTTGGTCAACTGAAACAACTGAAACTTGGGATGATAAACCTGATGCATGAGCATTATATTTTGAAGTGAAATCGACAGATGAAAATTTCAAGATGGCGACTGGGCGCCATCTGAGAAAAAAATTAAATGGAAAGGGGGTTCTTGTGATACCTCCTTCTGAAGCTCCTGAGGAATACTTCACAACCCTGGAATATATAGAATATCTTCACCTACTACAAATTGGGGGAACATTTGATAATTGTCTGAATACATCGACGTTTACTTCATAATTTGAGGAAATGAGCTGAGTTCTGTTCAGAACATGCTGGAAATGATTGCCTTGAAATTCTTGACATAGGAACAGCCTAGCCGATATTTCACGTCGAACACTTTCGCACACAGGTACGTTGATATTTCTAAAAATATTCATCATTCTATGTCGTATTTCCAATATTAATGCAGTTTCGTGCACATTCTGCTTCAAATGGCCCCATAAAAAATGTCTAAAGGTGTCAAATCTGGCGAGCGAGCTGGCCATTCCGTAGAATCGGCCAATCCAACGACCGGGAATAGTATTATCCAATTGTTTCTAACTTGTCTGGAGTGATGTGGTGGTGCTCCATCTTTTTGAAATACAATATCCAAATCGATTTGTTAGTATTCAGGCAGATATTGACTTCATATTCTGGGGTTGTGAAGTTCAAAAAATAAAAGAGGGCGGGGACATTGAATAAGCACTGTATACTTATTATTATCATTAAGTATAGGTATCCGAGAAAGGCAGCAAAAAGTGTATGAATTTTGATTAGTACAGGTACCTCATGTATTCCTGAAGAGCCCACCAAGAAAACAACATTGAATACTTTTCATTACCCATATGAAAAATTGTGGGTATCAATCAATTTTTGAATAATTTCTGAAAGTTTGCTGTATGTTGTTGATTGTGATTTCGCCCCACTTCAAAACGTCCGATTGATTCGAAATTTAGCAGGTGTACATAATTCTGGTGATAATGCATCATAAAATGTTTGTAAGACAAAAAACAAAATGACTGCTCTGTAATGGCGGACGAGTTTTGTTATTATATGATCCGATTCTATTCAAAATTGTTGTCTGGGTGTTTGAGAGGTCGGAGATTATAATTCTCTCGTCAAAATTGGTAAATTCAAGATGGCGGATCCAATATGGCAGACGAGTTTCGTAATTATGATTCGATTCTATCGATACAATAAGAGATAACAAAATAAAAAAAACACGTTATTAAATAGAAAATAAATAGTAGTGAGAAAAACTGAAGGAACACTCTTTTATAGATAACACAAACTAAAAAGAAGCAGAAAATAAATAGGAGTTCAAAAAACTAAATAAACCTGCTTTTATAGATAGCCGCACACGAAGTGTGTTGATAAATACACAACAAAGAATATTATACTGATTACGGAGTTGCTAGTATTTTTTGAGTTGGGTATTTATCAACACACTTCCATTATTTAATTTTTTACTTCAATCCAGTTCATGGTTTTGGTTTGTGAATATGAATAATTTGAGTTTTCAATCCACTTGTGATAACTATGTGGAGCAGTGATCATTCCAAAATATTTTGCCACCAAGAACCAATTGACACGAACTGATTTTCTTGAATATTTTCCACAATTATCCAATGAATCAAGGAACCTCAAAATACTAATGAGTCGGTATATCTGAATCATTATTCATGAAACTGCGTGGCTCCCTCTCGCTTACAAATAATGAAACAAACGAATAAATTACCTGAAAAAGAAAGCTGCATCCGATAAATAGGCTCCTACGGCCATATCTGGATATTCGTTGCCATCCAGATCCATTCCCCCAGCCAATGAAAACCCGAATGTAGTCGTTGGTCCGTGGTTGAAGTGAATGTCCTCAGCAAAGATGACTTGGCCATGTTTTTGCCTGATACCCTCTTTGGATCCGTAGTAAATGTAGACCGCTCCTCTGCCGTTTGGACCGTCATATGGAGCACCGACAGCAAAATCTACCAGAAATCAGTAGTTATAATCAGCAGAGTTAGAAAGGAATAAAGTGGAGGTCAATTTTCTAAGAAAAATAATAATTATATTGATAATAGTCGTTTTTCCACCACTAGCTCTAGAACATACCATTATTTACCTACCCCCTTTCAAGGCGTAAAGAAAAATAATAATTATATTGATAATATTCGTTTTTCCACCACTAGCTCTAGAAGATACCATTATTTACCTACTCCTTTTCAAGGCGTAAAGTGTTTTTTACTACTAAGGTAGATTTCGTCATTTTATGAACCACTAGCCAATAAAGACATAGCCACCTCTGATATAATCAACTCGAATCAACTGTTCTTAAAAGAAGTTCCGATTTACAGGGTTTTACCTTTTCCGGTTATAGTTGTTGTTGTCAACTGTGGTAAGAAATGTTATATTTGAATATGGAAAATAGTGGAATGCATATTGTTTCTTCATGTAATTTCAATTAGTTATTTATTGATTGAAGTTCAATTATTGTAGATGATGAAGTTACTCAAATATGTGCAAAATTCGCAGAAATGGCACTCGATTCTAGTAGGTATTTATCAATAACGACCTGTTATACTCTATCATGATCATGACTACTAGATTTCAATTAGAATTGAAAATAAATGCTTTCATAGTGAAAATCACAGAACTATAGTGATTTAAATATACCTACTGCTAGTGGTGAAAAAAAAAAGTAATATACTTATACTCCCCGGCTGAAGCCTCGGGACATAATCTTGGTCCCTGGGTAATACTGGCATCCTTTACTACCTTTGTGTATATGAATAACTATTATATCCTGCTATTGAACAAAATAACAAATTCCTTGTTTGAATAATAATTATGTTATTACAAAAAAAAGGTAAAGATGGCAAACAAAAGGTCCCAGTCAACACATCTGTCACATGACATCTCTGTGATGTCACGTTTAGGTAACAATGCGATATCACAAACGTTCCATCGCAGCGATGTTCATGAGCAAACACATCTGCGACATGACACTCGGAGATGTCGCGATGAAGCAACACTCCGATATTACGAATTTTACACCACTGCGATGTACAGGAGCAGACACACCTGCAACATGACATCTCTGAGATGTCACGATGAAGCAACACTGCGATATTATGAATTTTCCATCACTGCGATGTATGAAAGCAAACACATCTGCGACATGACATCTTTAAGATGTCACAACAATGCTTAATCAATATTATTAGATGTCATCAGAGGTCATTGGTGTTTTATCACACCATGTTTGAGAAAATTTTTTTACGTCATGTCAGATTTCTCTAGTCTATTGCTAGTCCGCTAACGTAGACTTCTGTAGTTGCCTGTTGGTGATTCACTCTTAGGCAAACTAATAGATTACATTCGGTCGCGATGTTTTTTGGATGGTGTCTCAGAGGGAAGTGTCATATTAAGAAGCCTGTGATAAGCTCAAGCTCAGCTTTGTTAAGGCTAAGTAGTACGAATCCTTGCATAGATTTCTGGAGGATGTAATTCAATGTTCTGCGTGGCATATGGCATATAGCCAGGAAAGTAGTTGTTTTTGTCTCGTTATCTACCAGTTTCGTACATTTATGAACTTTTGGGGAAATGACTTTGACCTTTGTATATTTATTGAACAGTTTATTCCACTTTGAGCATTTTGGATTTTTCGTAGTGAGATATCTTACCGTCGAATCCATCCTGGTTGAGATCTCCCAAAGAGGCCAAGGAAAGCCCGAACCTTCCCTTGGAGTTCATCCCGTCTATGTAGTGCGACGTGTTGAAACTTTCAGCAGCGCTGCTCGCTTGGTAGAAGACGTACACTCTGCCTACGTCATAGCTGCCCTCGTTGTTGGCTTCCGTGTGCATCGGCGCCCCCACTATAAGATCCAGTTTTTTGTCTCCGTTGACGTCGGCGGCTGCCAGGGAGTACCCGAAGTACGATCCGATTTGCTTGCTGATCGTCAGGTTCTTGTAGTTGATCAGGTCCCATGTGAAGAGGAGCACCTGTAGAAACATTCAAGCCGAAATTCAGGTTCGTGATCCAAACGTTGAGAGAATTGATAAGAATATATTCCACTTGTTTTATTTTTGAAAAGAATATTTCAAAACGTTATTTTTGACTCAATTTATTGATTTTTTCGTTTTATCCTTCCTTAGCCATTTTGTCACTGCATTATCACTTGTAATACCACCAAATATATAGGTTGAGAAATTTTCAGATAATAGTTTGACTTCGTGTGGTATTCGGTAAGAAGAGTTCACACCAGATAGTGTTAAAAAATTAAATATTTTAGAATTTATTTTTTAATTTGATTTTCATATATAGGTTCGTGAACAAAAATTTAGTATGCGTCGTAGTTACCTATTGTACATAGTTGCAAGAAAATACCGGTTTGGAATTTAACATATTATATTTTTCCATTTTATATCAACTTCGGGTTACTGTAGAAGTAATAGAAATTTATAATGTTATTCTGTCATTGAAACGTCAAAAAATTTCCGATTCAATTCGCTGGTGGGTACCCAGAAGGAAAAAAATCCACTAGAATATACAAACGTTGTTATGGTGATTTGTCGAAAAAACCCAATTTGATTGGTTGAAATTTACTGGTGTGGAATTTTCAACAGTAATACCATAATTTTAAAGTTTCGAATAATTTCTCAACGAAACTGATGGAAGCAATTCATTTGAACTGAGGAATGAGTTGAATTTTTTTACACTATTTCACAAACAGAGTGGAAGGTGAGAAGTCTGAAATTCGGTAGTATTATGGTTACTGAATATAAATTCGTGGAAAATTTTGCTGTTAGTCAAGGCTGACTCTTGATGTCCTATCGATGGTCTCATTTTGTACCATAGGCGTGGGTGATTTCCGAATATCGCATTGAAAAATTGCCGATATTTTTACTTCTCCAAACGTCACTTACAATTTTCCCGTTGACTCCATATGGGAAAAATAGTAATTTGTTTTACTAGGCAGCAAAGTAGTAGATTGACTGTCGCGGCTGACAGTTCATCTAGCCAAGGCAGTCAATCTACTTATTTGCTGCCATGTGAAACATATCATTCGTTCTCCAAATGTTAAACAACCAATTCAGTTTAATTTCTTCATTGAAAACTTCATCATTTTGTATTCACCCCATTTCAGTGTCAATTTTGATTACCTATAGCATTCAAATTACTCGGAAAATGCATAGCAACAAACTTTCTCTGCCTAGGCGAAGAAAGTACACTTTTGCTGCCTGTCAAGTGTCGCAGGAAAGCCACTTCCTATGTCGTTTGGAATTAAAATACCTATCTTTTCTTCCTACACTCCCTGGGTATACGCATGATGTATTCAGAACATTATAGGGATTCCCTTTTGTGCGTTTCTAGATATTCGAGAACAGAAAACTCGATTATTGTAGACAACTTTGTTGATCGATTGAAATCAACTTTGAGATGTTCCTATTGTGGACATTGCTCTGTGACTTTTGAACCTTTCTGGGATCTATCATTAGCGATTTCACACACAACGGGCTAACTCAGACTTTCACAATGCTTAGACCTTTTCACCAGACAGGAAATCTTGAACGATGACGAGTCAACAAAATGTTCAGAATGTAAGGAAAGAAAGAATTTCACGAAGTATTTATTAATACATAATTTCCCTAATATACTAGTGATCCATTTGAAACGTTTCTCGCCATCAGAGAATTTCCATGAAAAAATAAACATTGATTTTCCTCTAGAAGATTTGGATATGGGAAATTATGCAGCAAATGATGAAATCCCTTGTAGATATAATCTATATGCCGTATCTATTCATAGTCGAACAACTTTGGCTGGACACTACAAAGCATATTGTAAACATCCAATCACTGACTTATGAAACGAGAACATTGACTATGATTTCCAGAAATCATCTAAATCCATTGTGAATGGAGAAGCATACATCCTCTTCTACGAGCAGAAGGTGGCAAGGACCCGGAACAAAGGAAATAAAGATGAGAGTACTGCTATCAACAAACAAGAAAATAATGAAAGGCTCATCATTCGAATCGTCACCAAACCAGACCATCATCTCGCGAAAAAGTCTCAGATTGTCTTCCAAGGAGAGTTTTAATAATGGCTCCCCCATCATCAAACCTATGCTGAAAAGGGGTGGACAGGGTGAACAAGGAAAAAACGGCATTCGCGAATGTTCCACCAAAACGTTCCACAAGAAATATGAGGAATAAATAATGTTGGCCGTTTTATCGAATTTTTTATATTTATATTGTATAATAGTTTGATGAATATGTATTTTTCATTTTCTGAATGAATCGCAGATCGTCAATCCTTCAAAAAAAATACAAGTACCATCAAGTTTGTAATATGAACAATATAATGATTGACCCAAAAATGTCATTCAGAAGTAGTTATTCAGAAGTAGTAGAATAACTTATTGCTTTGGTTTCTGGTTGTATTCTTCTCGGTTGCTTCTTCTTCTTCTTCTTCTTGGTATGATTCTGGTCAAATAACGAAGTTTGCTTCCAGAATCCGGTGGAGGTTGAGGTGGACCATCGTTACTTGATGCCATTATGCCAATTTTTACAGAAATTAATGAAACACATGTATTTCAAGATGGATACCAACTATCATTTAGGAGACGGTTTAAGCAGCTCACTACTTAATTGAAAATAACGTGAGTGTTCAACTTTTTTATATCGTTCAATTGATAGTTTTCATTCAAAGAAAACGTATATTTCAAAATAGATATCAAATGCCACCAAATAGTTGGAAAATAGTTGACAGATTAATTGAACATATCTTTTGGTTCACACTTTGTCACCACAAGTGGAAAATGAATCAGCTAATAACCATATGGGAAAAATAAATAAATTCATAAATATCAATGATTTGATACAAATTTTTTTATATATGAAGATTATGGAAACGTTAGTGTACAACGTTTCTGGGAAATATTTCAACAAATTAGTTGGAAATATTGTTTGACTCATTCAACGAATTGTTAGATCATCACGTTGAATCCATCACACTTTTTGAACGTACCTATTCCATATAAAATTACTCTCATGCATAGCCAAATTGACAAATAATGCGTTCATCACCCACTCAACGTTGAATATACGTCGATTCAACGTAAATGTACCTCTTAGGTTCAGGTTCCATCTGAGTGTGGCGAATACCTCCCTTCCACTGCGACCCCAGATGGGTCTATTGTGGCTCACCCCTAGAGGTTACAGTTCACCGTACAATCCACATCTTTTTACAAAGTTCATGGTTGAATTGGGTGAGATTTGTCTGAAATCGATAGGTTCTAAATTGGTAAAGCCAAATGTGTCGAACCTTAGTCTTTCTAAGCTAGAGCATGAACATAATATGTGTTCAGCCGTTTCGTCTTCCACACAACAGAACCGACAGTCCGTTTGTTGGTTCAGACCCATCCTTCCCAGATGGTATCTTAGACGACAGTGTCCCGTAAGCAGTCCAGTCAGAATTCGCAGGTTACCCCTGCTCCATTCTAGGATCTGCCTGTTTATTTTTTCCGATGGTTTAGGCAGGAACGCCTTCGAATGGGTTAATCCTGGTAATTCAGACCAGTACGTGAGTGTTTTTCCCTCCGCCCAGCCCGAGATAGTTGTTTTCGCCGCACTTGCGGTGACCCCAAAATATGGTTCTGGTCCTATGAACACAGATTCGGTTCCCTGTTTGGCGAGGATGTCGGCTTTCTCGTTACCCTCCAACCCCTGGTGTCCAGGCACCCTCAGCAAAGTGACTCTGTTGTTAGCACCCAGGCATTCTAGGGATTCAATACAGCTCCATACAAGCTTGGAATTTATCTTGCTGGAGCTCAGTGCTTTAAGAGCAGCCTGACTGTCTGATACAATACTGATATTTTTGTTTACTAGAGGTTTATTCGACAACTCTCTAGCACACAATTCAATTGCGAATACCTCCGCCTGAAAGATTGTAGCATATTTGCCGAGATTGACGGAGATTTCCGTCTTCGGTTCTCTGCTGAACACACCGGCTCCAACTCCTCTTGGGTGGAACACACTCGGAATGTCTCACCTTTCCTTTCAATTTGTTGCCCCTGGGCATACCAACAGCAGCACCTTCGTATTCTTGTCCCTCCTGGAAGTGACCAACGACTGTGGAATACCCAATGTAAGAATCATCATCCGGAGGTTTTCCTTCTCTTGTTGAAAACACAGCTGGCCTTCTTTCCAAACTTTGTTGGTGGACAGAACCTGTAAAAACGTTCAAAAATCGATAACGATTCGACGAGATTGTGAATGAGACACTGAAATGTTCGCTGGTTATTGTTGATGGTGTTGATGATGTTGTGCCAGAAGCCAAATGCAATTTCTAAATGCTTCCACAAAAGCCAAAAGCCGTGTTCCATATTGTAGTATACCTAGTTGTAACCTGTTGATGGATAGTTCGTGTTCCCATTAATTGTAAGTTGTTTGCAAAATATTTGTACACAAGGATCTTACTGACCTGTCAGGGAAACTTGATTGGAAAGAGTTGGAAGAACCCAGACAGCATAAAGTGGTTCTGAAAACGTTCGTAGAATATTCCCGTGGAAGATTTCGAATATTCTCATATTGTTCTCACAAGGTACACTGAACGTTCTGAGAATATTCTAAGAACATGCAAATGGGACGAAAATTCACGTTCATTATATTTTCTAGAACATTCTCAGAACATTCTATGAATATATAGAACAGCCTCAGGATTATCTAGGAATATTCACAGTATACAGGGTGTATCAAAGCCCATGGAGAATATTCCAGGATTCAGAAGCCCTGGAAGGGACACCTAAATTAGAAAAAAGAAAAACTTCGAAATTATAACTCGTCACTTTGAAATCCCGACTTATAACTCGGAACTTCATAGCTCAGAATTTTACATCCAATATTCCGAGTTATAACTCGAGTAGGTAGGAAGAAAGTTATTGAAGAAAATAGCAGTAAATTCCAATTCACTAAACCCCATTGAAAGTAATCAGAGAAAATAGCGGTGAATTTGAATTCACCAAACCCCATTGTTACCGATGATGTGCAAGACAAGTTCAATCAAAGTCAGCAATAAGGATTTTGAATAATCAATGAAACTTCGATATTTTTCTAAAGAATTTGACTTCCTGTATTTCAAAAACGAAGCAAGTTAGGATCTGTATGTTTATAGGAAACAAAAATTTTCCTCTCTCTCAGAGTATCTAAATGATGAATTCAATGAACATTCCTGAAGAACATGCCTAGAATATCCCAACATTATAAGATCAAATCGAATCAAATTATGCTTTATTGTCCAAGAAAAAGGAATATTATTGACAAAGCCACGTGGGGAAAATACAGTAATAAAATTGGAATCAATTGAAAAATGTATAAATAACGTTGATGTTGAATCGTACATGGTATACAAGTCAATATCAAAATAGAGATACAAAAAGCATATATATTTCATGTAACCAAACACAAAATATATAAAACTTAAAAGGTGTAGATGAAAAACTCTCTTATTGAGAATAAGCATCTTTTCAACAGTCTTCCTATATCTTCTGTCGTTTTGTCGTTTTGCATCTTCTTTAGGTGATTTGGTGAATGATTGTAAATCTTCAAGCTTTCATGAATGTGCGAATTCTAAGCTAGTGTCGCTTTTGATATTGGAAGTTTAATATTATGACAGATTCTGGTATTATAACAATTGGAGAACAAATGATTTTTGTACCTCTTGCGCAACAAACTAAATATTTCTAAAATAAAGAGGTATGAAATTGTCAATATTTGTTGAATAATAAACAATGGTTTGCAGTGAGTGTCTAATCTAATTCCACAGATATATCTCACAGCCCTTTTTGTAGGACGAATCACATTCATACAACGTTCCTAGGATATTTTGATGAAATGTTCTATGAATATTCTCGTAAAACATTCAATGAACATTCAGAACTTCTCCACCATATTCTATAAATGTTCTTCGGTATATTCTGAAGGAGGTATGTTGTGAACGTTGCGAGAACGTTCATAGAAGATTCTGTGCTGTCTGGGAAACTGAATTGAAGTTGAAAAATAGTCTGATCTCTATGACTACGGTTTCTGGAATGAATAGAAGAAACAAACAAGAGGAAGAAACCAAGATAATTTTGGAGTCTCACTTGAGAAATTAGAACTATTGATAGCAGTTGAGCTTTGCAATCAATAGCCAAAAGTCATTTCACAATCTTCTCATACGGATCGCAATTTTTGAAGATATTTAGGCGGGTTATCAGGATGCCGTCAAACAATACGAAACATTTCCAGTCCCAATTATCTCGAGTACGTACCACTTCGTTATTATGAATTGAAATGAGGCTGAAATAATTGAGACTGAGAACAGAGCCGATATGAGAGCAAAGCCGTGACATTCCATTCAAACTCAAATGGATGGCCTTATGATTTATCAGTGGACTTGTCAAGCAACATTGATATGAGTTTATTAGCATTCCAATTTAAAAAAATTGGTTCTAATAATAAACAGTGAGTGATTAAGATTTGTTGAAGTCCTAGTGATTTCTCTACAAAAGATCGTTGAAGGAATCGTTGAAAATAATAGACAAAAGATTCCATATAAGTGGACGACAATATAAGACCATTCGACTTGCACTGCAGAATTAAATTCCTTGTTTGGTAGGCGATATAATATAAATTTTTCACCACTATAGCTTTCAAACCTGCCATTCATTATACTATGTAGGTAGGTATTCATCAGCTTTTTAATTAGTGTGAAGTTACCCACAAACCTTCATCCACAAATTCTGACGTAGGGGAAATTTTCCATGATGCAGCGATTCAATCTTATACAGTGTTGCCACATTAATTTTTATTTTTTGGTGAGTATGAGAAAGTACTTGAAGGAAATACTTACAAACCAGTATGTTTAACAAAACTGGAGAAAGTCATTGAGTGCTAGATTGGGAAAAACTTGAAAAATATTTATTTTCTTGCAAACTACGGCGTGTTCCGTCATGAAATTTTTACAGAGTGTTCATTACATTGAGAGAAATGATTCAGTCGATAGAAAAAGTTGTGCCAAACCCGAGGCCAAACCATAGGCCGGGAGCTATGTTGAAAAAACTTGAAAAATATTCATTTTCTTGGAAACTACGGCGTGTTCCGCTATGAAATTTTCACAGAGTGTTCATTACATTGATCTAAATGATTCAGTCGATGTAAACAGTTGTGCCAAATCGTAGGCCGGGAGCTATGTTAAAAAAACTTGAAAAATATTTATTTTCTTGGAAACTACGGCGTGTTCCGTCATGAAATTTCCACAGAGTGTTCATTACATTGATCTAAATGATTCAGTCGATAGAGAAAGTTGTGCCAAACCGTAGGCCAGGAGCTATGTTGAAAAAACTTGAAAAATATTTATTTTCTTGGAAACTACGGCGTGTTCCGCTATGAAATTTTCACAGAGTGTTCATGACATTGATCTAAATGATTCAGTCGATGTAAACAGTTGTGCCAAACCGTAGGCCGGGAGATATGTTGGAAAAACTTGAAAAATATTTATTTTCTTGGAAACTACTACATGTTCCGTCATGAAATTTTCACAGGGTGTTCATTACATTGATCGAAATGATTTAGTCGATAGAGAAAGTTGTGCCAAACCGTAGGCCAGGAGCTATGTTGAAAAAACTTGAAAAATATTTATTTTCTTGGAAACTACGGCGTGTTCCGCTATGAAATTTTCACAGAGTGTTCATTACATTGATCTAAATGATTCAGTCGATGTAAACAGTTGTGCCAAACCGTAGGCCGGGAGCTTTGTTGAAAAAACTTGTAAAATATTTATTTTCTTGGAAACTACGGCGTGTTCCGTCATGAAATTTCCACAGAGTGTTCATTACATTGATCTAAATGATTCAGTCGATGAAAAAAGTTGTGCCCAACCGTAGGCCGGGAGCTATGTTGAAAAAAACTTGAAAAATATTTATTTTCTAGGAAACCACGGCGTGTTCCGTCATGAAATTTTCACAGAGTATTCATTACATTGAGAGAAATGATTCAGTCGCTAGAAAAAAATGTGCCAAACCGTAGGCCAGGAGCTATGTTGAAAAACTTGAAAAATAGTTATTTTCTTGGAAACTACGGCGTGTTCCGTCATGAAATTTTTACAGAGTGTTCATTACATTGAAAGAAATGATTCAGTCGATAGAAAAAGTTGTGCCAAACCGTAGGCCAGGAGCTATGTTGAAATAACTTGAAAAATATTTATTTCCTAGGAAACTACGGCGTGTTCCGTCATGAAATTTCTACAGAGTGTTCATTACATTGATCGAAATGATTCGGTCGATGGAAAAAGTTGTGCCAAACCGTAGACCGGGAGCTATGTTGGAAGAACTTGAAAAATATTTATTTTCTTGGAAACTACGTCGTGTTCCGTCATGAAATTTCTACAGAGTGTTCATTACATTGAAAGAAATGATTCAGTCGATAGAAAAAGTTGTGCCAAACCGTAGGCCAGGAGCTATGTTGAAATAACTTGAAAAATATTTATTTTCTAGGAAACTACGGCGTGTTTCGTCATGAAATTTTCACAGAGTATTCATTACATCGATCGAAATGATCCAGTCGATGAAAAAAGTTGTGCCAAACCGTAGGCCGAGAGCTATGTTGAAAAAACTTGAAAAATATTTATTTTCTTGGAAACTACGGCGTGTTCCATCATGAAATTTTCACAGGGTGTTCATTACATTGATCGAAATGATTTAGTCGATAGAGAAAGTTGTGCCAAACCGTAGGCCAGGAGCTATGTTGAAATAACTTGAAAAATATTTATTTTCTTGGAAACTACGTCGTGTTCCGTCATGAAATTTCTACAGAGTGTCCATTACATTGAGAGAAATGATTCAGTCGATAGAAAAAGTTGTGCCAACCCGTAGGCCGGGAGCTATGTTGAAAAAACTTGAAAAATATTCATTTTCTTGGAAACTACGGCGTGTTCCGTCATGAAATTTCTACAGAGTGTTCATTACATTGAAAGAAATGATTCAGTCGATAGAAAAAGTTGTGCCAAACCGTAGGCCAGGAGCTATGTTGAAATAACTTGAAAAATATTCATTTTCTTGGTAACTACGTCGTGTTCCGTCATGAAATTTCTACAGAGTGTTCATTACATTGAGAGAAATGATTCAGTCTATAGAAAAAGTTGTGCCAAATCGTAGGCCGGGAGCTATGTTAAAAAAACTTGAAAAATATTT